ACTGAAATCTGCAAACCTGTTTTATAGAATTTACTAAAATTATTTTTTTAACAAATTTATAATAATAAAAAAAAAGAATTATAACAGGATTACCAGCTGAATAGTTATCTAATTTTGGCTTATATCTGTCTCTTATACACATCTAGATGTGTATAAGAGACAGAAACTTTACTTTGAGGCAGCGTCAGATTTGACAGGTGTATATATATATATGCGAGAATTTCAAGTCATATATTACGTTATTTTAACATATATGAACACTTAAAATTATGTTCTCATGTATTTTATACGTTTAAAACTACTTGTTTTATATAATTCTAATATTTTCTCTTGCTTTTAGTTCACATGTTACTATGATCTCTTTCTATTTTCATGAGGAGTAACCTGTAAATTAATTTCAAATGGTGGAAGTTTTGGTATATATATTCTTATCTAGTTTTTCAATTTGAGTGCATCACACAAACTCTTAGCGTTAGTTTGCAAAATATTATTAGCTTTTTGAAAGTGTTGTAACAATAATATAAAAAAAAATAACATACAATTACCAGAACAATAGGTAATAATGGCTTTTTAGAAGGATTTATATAGCAGATAGGTTATTTTAAGTTAAATTTTTCATTTTTAGATCTTTTCTATTTGTACGTTAGTTACGCTTGTTTTTAGCCAAAAAACCATCACTTTGACAATAATATTTGAGTAATTTTCATGTGTGAAGCAATTTTTACTGAATAATGAATATTTAAGACATGGTAGGTGTCAGATTTTAGTGTTTATTGTGAGTTTCTATGTGAAAATTTTTTTCTCGATATTTTTCTTGGCATTTTTAAGTTTCATCACATGACTTGGTACCACAACATGATTTGTGATGATTTTGATTGGCAAAATTTGCCTATTTAGTTTATTTTTTGCAATAAAATTTCCCCCAAATTTATATAGTAATTTTCTGTTGATTATAGGCAGATCGGATCTTAAATAAAAAAAGCTGTACAACATATGAAGTAAAAAAAAAAAAAAAAAATTTTGGTCATGAGTTATTTACTTTTATTTAGTTTTATATATATTTATCGCCTTTTTCTTTTTAGTATGATTTAGCTTAAATAATAATTAAAAAAAGTGAATTTTAGAAATCTGTGATTACTAAGATTTTATTGTATTTTTAAATAGAAAAGGTGCAAATACAAGCTGAAAATGCAATAAAATTTTAGTAATCAGAAGTTTTAAAGTAAGTTTACTTATAAGTAACTTTTAAAGTATAAATGTTATACAAATTTTTAAGGAGTCACTTATAAGTAAACCTGAAACGTATGATCTATACATGTTGCCAAAATATTTCAGCTATTTCGCCCACATGACAAACTCTTCAAAGCAAAATCATCTGATTTCATAGATCTGGCTGAAATTAGACTTCAAATAGGTTAATCCGGGTCTAAAGAACCTATGAAAGAACTTTTGAGGAATTTTGACCAACTTACATAATTTTGGCAGGATTCTGGAATTTCAGACAACCTATATTTAATATATGGCCAAAACTTTAAAGTCCAATTCAAAATTATTACATATTATGCTGAAATTTTCTGAAGTCTGCTAAAAGTTGCTGCAGATCTGGCCCAAATTATCTGAGGTTTAAAAAAATTTATTGATATATTTACAAGTAGCTATATTTTGAAGCCAAAATGTGGCCGAAATTGAAAAAAAGTTTTGGCAACATGTATAATATGATCAGCTATTGTCTAAGCTCTCACCACCAATACGAAAAATGTGCTTGTATGTCTCGAAAGGCTCAGAAGAAGGAATTGAAAGAATCAGAAGTGGTTATCATCTTTACAATATCTGAATGCTAATATAAATGACTTAATTATTTCCAAATCTTTTTTAGATACCGCCAGTGAGTTCAGTAGTATAAATGACCAAGCAATCAAGACGCTTGAATGGAAGGCTGATAAACCATCTAATTTTGCTATAAAGGGCAATTTCAAGCATATCACTAATTCATTAGAATGGTATACAGACGTGCCAGTTACCTTGAAGAATAAAGAAGATAAAATGGTCACAGTTATTGGAAATTTTGTTCGTATTGATAATGGTGAAACAGAACCAATGCTATTTTTTGGTATGTCAAACATTTGAAAGGTTCAAGATGTCTCCAATCCAAATAAAAACCAGTTCCGCATAAAGTTACATGGAAAGGCATATATTATTCCAACTTTTAGCAAGTCTCCGGTAGTCAAGAATCTGCCAAAAAAGGATCAGGAATCATTATGCAAAGTGCCTCTTGACTTTCAGGTTTCAGCTAATTCTTCTAATCCAGAGAAAGACTTAAAAAAAGTGCATAAAGCTTAAAGAGCAACTATTAAAAACTGAGAAATGGCTTGACATGGCATTAAATGCAAGTAAAATTCTTGCAGAAAAATGCTCACAACTTATGGAGAAAAGATCAGATGTATAACAGTTTCTCTAGTAATATTTACTAATTTATTAAAATTAGATTCCTATTTAGATGTATTATCTTTAAAAAAATTGACCACTATGCTTTCAGTTTTTTTTGGAGAAGATTCACATTTTGGCTTTATACTATCCTTTTTTTCTGATTAACTTTATCTTTTCACCCACTAGATGTTGTATTCAGACTATCAGAATTTATATAGGAATTTGGACCATTCTCATCATTTGCATGATACTCTGTATGAATAATCCCATCTTCTTGTATATTAGTAGAGAAGGAAGTATCGTGTGAAGATTCCTGATTATTTTTCTTACAGTCTATCAGCAAAATCTGGTCAGATATGCTAACAGATTTTAAGATTTTATGCCATTCTTCAGTAGGTTTAGGAGACCTCTAATTATTAATTATTTTTTGATATATTATTAATCATATATGATATTTTTTGCACATAATATGCTGAGCATTTGGAATATTATTTTGAGTATTTCTAATTTCTTCGATAGCTTTAGATGTTATACGTCTGGCATCTAATCTAAGAAATTTACGAGTATGAGTTGTTTGTTTTTTGCTTATAGTTTACTAGAAATAAATCTGTATGATACTAATAAAAAACTTGTAAAAAATTTATTCAAAATTTATATGATATTGGACAAACATTAGTCTGGCATTAGTTTATTACATATATGATATATGTAGTTCGCTTTCTTTGCAGTATAGCATGCTATAATCATGATTCAAATAAAAATAGGTTTAAAATATATATACTTCAAATATTATATTTGTTTGAAACTAGTTTGTTATTAGTTTTTTATTGATTTGACATTAGTTTGATTCTAAATTCCCTTTTCCATATTCGAAAAAAAAAAATCATAAAAAACTTTGCCTTCAAATAAATTCATATGGCAAATATATATACGCTAAATGAAATAAATAATAGGACACCCTTGGTATCTGGCAATAAACTTGGAAATTCGCCATCTAATTGATATCCATTTAGCCAAACTGAGCTTGAGAACTAACTTGCTTGTGTAAAACATGATCTAGATATCGCTTTAAGCTCAGGTATTTAGCTTGGCACTAGAAACATTCTTCTGATGAAAAATAATAAGAGTTTTTCAGAGCACATATGCCAGCTTGAAGATGAGGTGAGAGAACTTAAAAATCAGATCATCTATAAAGATATTTCTTGCTCAAAAGCTGAGAATGAGATCTCTACAAAATTGAAAGAGATACAAGCTTTCCAATTAGAAATAAAAGAGTTGGAAATGAAGTATTTTTTAACTCAGAAAGATTTATCAGAAATGGATTCTCTTAGACGAGAGTTAGCACTGTCAAGGCAAAATGTTGAACTAAAGAATGTTAACTTACTAGATCTGAAGGAAGATGAATTAAGTGAAAAAAAGGGTGAATCAATGCGATTAAGGGATGAATTGACCTTAACGCGAATAGAATTGATGGATAAAAAAGAAGAATTAATGCAAATGAGAGATAATTTGTCCTCAATACAAAAGACATTATTAGAGAAAGAGATCCTCCTTCAAGAAGCTAATGATCATTTAGCTGAGCATATACATGAAACCGAAATTGGTTAATTTTGACATCTGAAATGGTCAAAATGGTCAAAATGATTTTGACTTAGGCCCTTCTAAAAGTAACCGTTCATAATATTTTATTAAAAAAAAATAAAAAAAAAGATAAAGATTCGTACTTACGAATCTTTATCTTTGGGTTTTTGTTCTTCAGAAGCCCACCGAACCTAAAAAAATAAAGAAAGGAACAGTTAATAAACCGTTCCAAAATGATATAAAAAAAAAATAAAAAAATAAATTTATAAAGATTCATACTTACGAATCTTTATCATTGGGTTTTCATTCTTTGGAAGCCCACCGAACCTAAAAAAATAAAGAAAGGAACGATTAATAAACCGTTCCAAAGTGATATAAAAAAAAAATAAAAAAAAAATTTTATAAAGATTTGTACTTACGAATCTTTATCTTTGGGTTTTCGTTCTTCAGAAGCCTACCGAACCTAAAAAATAAAGAAAAGAACAGTTATTAGTAACCGTTCATTAATAAAATTAAAAAAAAACAAAAAAAAATTAAAACCAAGATTTGTATATACTTATGAATCTTAGTTTTTTTCATTTTTCAGAACTCGGAAGTCCCACCCAAAAGCTGAACCTATAAAAAAGAAAGAAAAAAGAACAGTTAGTAACCGTTCATATTAAAAAATAAAATAAAACTCCAAAGTATTTGTACTTACGAATCTTTGGAGTTTCTGTACTTCAGAAGCCTACCCAAAAGCCTAACCTAATAAAAAAAAAAGTAAAAAAAGAACGGTTAGTAACCGTTCATATAAAAAAAAATAAAAAAAAAACTAGAAAAAGTGAAAGGGGAAAGGGAAAAGAAGGAAAAGGGAAGGAAGGGAAAGGGAAGAAGGGAAACAGGAACAAAGTGAAAGGGGAACGAAGGAAGGGAAAGGGGAGGGGAAATAAAAAAAGTTTAAAAAAGGATGTATAAGATGATCCTTTTTTAAACTTTTAATACGCGTAATGCATAACGCATAACGTTTAATTAACAAAATTAATAAATCGACCATAAATCATATATATCGAAATTTGGCCGATTTTTAATAATTTCCAAAATTTGGCCGAAATGTGTAACAGATCAGCCGATTTGTCACATAACCGAAAGTTTTGATTTCGACCAGTGTTAAAAACTATCCAGAAATCCATCCAAAACTCCAAGACTTTATATTATAGTTTCGGCTGAATGTAGAGATTAATTTTTATCATTTTTTAACTTAATTTTGATTTAAAGATGTGGCCAAAAATTACGTGAAAAGGTTTCGGCTACAAGTATATCTCATATGGTTCAATACCTAGATCTAATTCTCTCCAATGTTTTTGTAATTTTATGTCCTATGTCTTAATACGCTCTCTTGATTTTCGAGCATTTGGACTGATCCAGTTTTTTGCTTCTTTCTCGGTAATGTAGTCGATACCAAGTATTGGAGTTTTTTTTTTAGATTTTAGCTCAGAAACTAAAGTTGGGAACTTGGGATTACCACATGTGGTCTCTTCTTGTTGCTCATATTTACACTAGAGCTTTCTACCTGTGCTTGGATTTCGAAAACTTGGATAACCTGTTAACTAGCTTTTTGAATAGGCACTTGAATTGGCATTTGAATATAAGCTACTTTCTTTTGCTTTTGTAATGGTTTGCATGGATTTTTTTACTTAAGATGCTTATGAAGTTTTTGGGATGTTAAAGAATCCCACTTACTTCTAATAGAGGTTACCGTAAAATTTTTAAGATTTATATGTAAATTTACCTTACTCCAAATTTTCTTTCTACTAAGTAATTTCGCCAATCTTCCAGTTACCTTTTTAAATTATATGTAATTTTACCTTATAAATTCAGAAACATTAATAATTAAGTAATATTGTAAATTGACTTTATTGTATTTTTTAATTATTAGTAATTAGAAATATAACAAATTATCAGGTAATAGATTAATAAATGTGAATTATATTAATTATAAATTGTTTTTAAAATTTCAATTACCTCTTGCTGTTGAAAAAAGGAAAAAATCTTACTATCATTAATATCAAGTATAAGTATTTCATAATTAGTGGCATTAAAAGAAAATACCTTACCAAGATAATAAACAATATTTTTAAAGGATAAATACACAAATAAATTACCACCTGTAGATGATTGACATGTAAAGTAACTTCCAGATAAATGATGATAAAGAATAACAGAAATAAATGAAAGAGAATCTACTGAATCTACACCAAAACATATATAAGCATGCCGATCACTAATTTTTTGATATTTAGCTAGAATTCGGCCAATACAAAGTTTTTTACCTATATACACAATAACTAGTCCATAATCTTTTAATTGACATTCTTCAGATACGCTAGCATCTCCGAGATGTTGAATTATTGTAATAAATATAATTAATACCAATTTTAAATAGAAAAAATAATGTATGTATAATTACCTGAAATTATTCTAGGAATATTAATATTTTCTACATGTTTTCTCATTTTCCAGCGTTTAAGTCTTAGTCAGCTTTCAACATAAGAATCATTTTCTTGAAGGCTATGCACAAGTTCATTTGCAGTATTTCTTTCAATTCTGTTTCATAAACTTTCATTCAAATTAAAAGCTGTTCTGTTTTGAATTCCACACAAACAATCAACTCTTGAAAATGCATTATGAGATTCACGAATTATTAATACTTTTAATACATCCAGTTCATTATTATTATTGCATAAGAGCTCCTTAAGTTCAGCCAAAATTGTTGGTATTGTTGCACTTTTTTGGTGATTTAAAAGGTAGATAATCTCATTGGAATTGATTTTACCAAGATTATCCATCTGATCACTTGACCTAGATGCACATAATTCTGAATCTTCATTTAAGCCATCTAATTCATCATATTCACCAAAGATATTATCATCGTTAATATAAAAACGAAGTTCTTCATGTTGATTAATGAATGACGTCTAAGCAACTTCTTTTGCTATATCACATAATTGATCATTTTCAGAAATTAATGGATTAAAATTAATTGCAGTATTTACTTCTGCATATTCCTGTTCGGCATCCAAATGAGAATTATCAATATATACAAAAGAACATAGACTTGTTTTAGATTTTGATAAAGCAACCAATTATGCAAATTTTTCTGCATTCAAGTAGGTAATTCGAATGGCACTATGAATTTCATCTTGTATTTGCCATTGGCGTAAAAATTTAAGCACTTTGGCACTCATGTAAGGTTGCTTGTCTAAACCTCTTCAAAATCCTACGATTAGTTTCGTCAAAATTTTACTATAGATTTATTATAGTTTCGGCAAAGTTTCGGCAGTTTCAGCATTTATAATAAGTTTCAGCAGTTTCGCCTTTCTCCAAAGTTTCGCCAGTTTTTTAATATAACTTTAATATAGTTTCAGCAGAATTTCACTTTTCGGCGAAATGCCATCTTGCCTAAACCCTAGGTTTTGGCAAGCAACTTTACACTCATGTCATTTGAATTAAAATCGAAAATATATCCTGAACAATCAACAATATAATTTAGTTAGTCAAAACAGGTAATATCAAAATTCGAAATGATTATTAAAAAATCGAACTAACCTGTTGCTGAAACTTTTTCTTTTTTTATTCCAAAATCTCCAGTTCGAAGAATTTTATCACAATACATAACCCGTCTGAGAATTTTAAAAAATTTATAAGCAGTAAAATCTGGCACTACTTGATGTGCAAGCCCAAACACATATTCTAAAGTTTCCGTTCTGTGCTCCTATGGTAGCAGCAGATAATCTTTATAATAATCATGATGTGAAATAATTAACAAGACTAAGGATTCAGCGAGACTTTTAAAAATATGATAACTTTGGATCGAAATGAAACTTTTAGCTACGGAATACCATTCATTGGAAGTATTTTTACCAGTCTTTTTGATATGGGACTTCCAAAAGTCAAGGAAGAAGTAAGTACACATAACCATAATTATTCTAGTTTTATAACTAATCTTACGATTCAAATAAGCATCAAAAAGTTCTCTTATAAAGAATATAATGTTTTAGCTAAGCTCATTTTAAAATAAAGTTTTTAATCTTTTTACCTAAAATAAACAGATACACAAATAAGCTGAGTTTGTCTGAATCGATTGCTCTATTATCTTGACACATTCTGAGCAATTGTGAATGAAATACGCGAAATGCTGCACTATCATCCTGTTTATCAATGTTATAAACATCACAGATATGAAGCAGAATTTTCCTTTTCTGCAAGATTGCAGAATTGATCGTAATGAACTGTACTGTTTCCAAATGTGAGTAATCATATTCCATAATAAATCTGGTTCCTAGCTATCTTTTTGGCATGCTTCATGTCTTGCATACGTATGATTGGTCGATTGTCGAAGATTGGTACTTTAAAATTAATTCTATAAAGGGAAACTTTAAATTTGAGAACTCCATTTACTGAGGGATATTCCATTACTATTTGCTATGCTTTCATTTCTGTGATCGCACCATCTGCTCCAAAACTTACAAGATTAATATTGCAATGTGCTATCATTTCTATAATCATAAGCAAATGATTACTTATTTCCTTTGCTGTTGCATTACCTTTAATAGGTAATGCTGTGATCATGACTGATGGAATCTTAGATATTGGTATCTGGAATGTTTTATGAAATTTCAACTTTGGAAGCTTATTTTGACATTGAATAATAATAAAAAACAAACCTTAAGCAAAAAAACATAAATTTGAGTAGCAACAGCATTTTGTTCTTTGATTTTTTTCATTGTTTAATGAATATCATCATATGTTTTACATTTCGTCTGGTTAGCTGATAAAATGGAACCTATTATACTGTCAAACTCTTATGAATAAACTACCTTTGGTTGTAGTTTTGTACAGTCTGTTATAAGAACTACTGGTCCTTTCCATTGCAGTTCATTAGCAACCTTTGCAAATCGAGCAATATTTTCAAAGGATATTTCAGAATTCGTTAAAATATCCTGATCTTTACTGCAAAACCGTCTGAAAATCAAAAGATCAACCTATTTATTATACTAATATATTATTAAGGTTTGTAATTATAATGATATCTTGCCTAATTGAAGGTAAATTCGCACCAGCAAATGCTTGTCTAAATATTTCATATGTGCGAGATTTTTCAGAGATTAAGCTAAAAAATTGGAGTAAATGTTCACTATATCAGATTTCAGTTTTACGCTTTCTGGCTATTTCTAGTTCTTTTATTTGTACCATTAAATATGCTAATTCCTCAAAAGTCTTGTTCGTAGTAAAAGCTCTATTTCTTCTGAGTTCAGCCAGTTGAAGCCAAATTTCAGCTTCGTCAGAATTTGCAGATGCCTGGTACAATTTTCTCAGATTTTAGTTTTTAAACATTTTAATAAATTCAATATAAAATAACTATTTGGAATATATTTAGCTGTAATACTAGTATGCTGTTTCTGAAACATAATGAAATAAATAATTAATGTATTTAATATTTATCTAATATATAAATATATTAACAAACAGTATTGCAAATATTTACCATGTTGATAGCATCTTTAAGTCAGAGGTTAGCTGTAAGAGCCAAACACTCATCACATATGCCAGATTCATTTGTAGTAAAACTTAAACATTTTACGCTAAATATAGCAAGAAGATCCTTATTGATTTTCCACTGATAGTAAGCAAATAAATTTCTTTTAAGAATTAATTTTTAGGATTAATTTTATATTCACCAGTGGTTAATTTAAAATTAATTCACCAGGGGTGAATTTACCTCTGGTGAAATTCATCAGTAATATGATAATTTTAGTTTTATTTATATTAATTTTGTTTGTATTACATTTTACAATTTCATACACGTAAATAAAAATTTTTTTATGAATTTTTTTAAACTGTAACTTTTTTTCCAAACATACTAGTAAACCCATACAACTCAATTTCATAAATTAGAAATAAAATTTATAGAGAAATTTGTGTTTTTATAACATTACTAACTGTTTAACTTCTAAAGTTTTATATTTTTTATTTAATAACTTTAGAGTGTAATTTCACTACTTTAGTCAAATGAAATCAATTTCTTTTATTAATTAAAAGTTGTTCAATAGAGCCAAAACTACTTGTATATTATTTTTTATAAGTGTAGGTATAATACATATAAAGAAACCCATATTTTTCATAATGATACTAACTTTTAAAATTGTTTTTTCATTTATTAACTTCAGAGCGTAATTTTACTACTTTAGCCAAATGAAATCAACTTTCTAAATTAATTGAAAATTGTTCAGCAAGGTCGAAACTACGTGTATATTAATTTTCATGGGTGTAGGTATAATATATATGGAGAAACCAACATTTTTCATAATGGTACTAACTTTCGAATTTTTCTTTGTTCAGAAAGGTCAAAACTACTTGTATATTAATTTTCATGGGTGTAGGTAAAATATATATGGAGAAATCTACATTTTTCATAACGGTACTAACTTTTGAATTTTTTTTTTCTGTTTATTAACTTCAGCGCGTAATTTCACCACTTTAGTCAAATGAAATTGACTTTCTAACTTAATTGAAAATTGTTCTGCAAGGTCGAAACTACTTATATATTAATTTTTATGGGTATAGATATAATATATATGGAGAAATCTACGTTTTTCATCATGGTACTAACTTTTGAATTTTTCTTTTTTCCATTTACTAACTTTAGAGTGTAATTTCACCACTTTAGTCAAATGAAATTTACTTCCTTTATTAATTGAAAGTTGTTTAGCAGTATAAAATCTACTTAATACTTGTAGGATTTATCTATTTTTTATAATAATACTAAATTATGAATTATTGTATAATATATTGTTATATTTAAACTATATATTTTATATAAATATTTTTATTAATAAAATTATAATAAATTATGTAATATAGGTGAACTTTACCTTGGGTGAATTTCACCACTGGTGAGCATTAAAATCATTCTAATTTTTAATCATCATTTAAAACACACCATGAATAATTTTTTTGATTTGGAAATTTTTCTGAAAATAGTTCATATACAACGATATCAGGTCGTCGGCCACCACCATATTGTGAAGGACTTAAAAGAATATAATTGTGATACTTTTCATCTATTAAACCTGAACAAGCAGCACTGACACGTGGTAATTTGCTTGGTCTTTGTTCTTTTAACTTTTGATTTTTCCAAAAAAATTCTAATATTGGTTGTTTTGTAGCGGTAAAATTGCACAAACTACTTTTTGAGTGACTATCTAGATTATGAGCATAATAAGATTTATCAAGTTTAACCTCTTTATTACATACACACCATACAGTTGTTTTATTAATAACTTCCAAAAAATGTGTGTGTTCTTTTAATTTTTTGTAATGTTCCAATTTATCACAATTTTTAAAGATAATGTCATCAAGTGTATAGACTATTTTAGGCTTTTTTATTACTGATTTGTTTGCGGTACATTTTTTATAATGTTTTTTAGATTTTCTCATATTTGTTTTATTTACATATAATTTTGTAAATAATTTACAACTTTATGCGTAAATAAAATAAAATAATATTTAAATAAACGCGCTAGATAATCTTAGTACCTTATTAATCGTATAAATATTTGAAATTTTACCTTATAAATAAATGTAACATCTTCAAAGAATACATAGATTTTACCTTATTAATTATAAGTTACATTTTAAAAAAATGCATTCATTTTACCATATATTATCGGTTACATAAAAAAAATTTACCACAAAATTTCAGTTACATTTTTTAATGTTTAGTAAATTTACCTTATAAATTCAACCAGTTTTTTTTGATTTTTCTAAGTAATTTTTACCTTAAGCTTGTGAGTGACCTCTATTAGAAGTAAGCGGGATCCTCTAAATACTATATAACAGAAAATTGTTTTTAGATATATTAGAATAAGTATAAAATATAAATGAATAATTAATTAAAAAAATACACTGATTTTAGAAATAGAATGATAAAACAGCATATAAGTTTTATATATTTTAAAAAATATCACTATTCTAATAATATAATTTTAAGTAGTAGATATAAAATGAATAAAATGTATAGACTATAGACCTTTATTTTATATAATTCCTAAACTATATTTAGTTTCTTTTTAAATATACTGTAAATATTAATTTGCTTTTTTTATCTGTATTTTTAATTTGCAAAATTTTATCAGTTAATATTTTTTATATTCTTTGCAATTTTTTTACAATTTTTCTGTAATTATTAAATAACCATTTTATAAATATTTTATAACCATCTTGCAATTATTCAATGATATTTTTATAATTTTAATTATAATTTATAATTTTTATATTATTATGTTAAAAATATAAAATGGATAATATATTTCAGATTTTATAACTGAAATAACTGAAATTCAGTTTAGTTTTTTAATTATAAAATTACTGCAGAAAGTAAAATAAGAATAAATAATTAAAAAGTAATAAATAAAAAATATTATAAAATTTCAAAATAAGTAAATAATAAAAAGATAATAAAAAAAACTATAAAAGGGTAATATATGGTAATTAAATAGCAATTTATTTGAGCAATTTACTTGTAATTAAAGTTGCTAAAAAAACTAAAGGATTTTGGCAAGTTTGTGAAATGCTAAAATAGCAAAACTTTGCCAAAATTATATAAAAGTCTTATTAATAAGTTGGTAAAACTTTAAAGAAAAGTGAAACTTAATAAAACTTACAATAAATACCAATGCAAAACTGCTAAAACTTTACCAAAACTATAATAAAACTATAGTAAAATCTTAAAGAAACTAATTGTAGGATTTGAAAAAGTTTAAATAAATATTTTTACTTGTAATTAGGTAGCAATCTACTTATAAGTGATTATAACTAGATAATAACTTATTATAGTAATTAAGTAACAGTATATATACTATTACCCAGTAGTCTATTTAAATATTATTAAATAAAAAAAATATTACTTGAAAATAAAATATAAAACTTAATTTTAAATAATATATAATATAAAATGTTAAATAGCTATTATTTTAAATATAATTATTAAACCATCAAATTTTAAGTATACCATATAATCATATTCTTTAAGATTTAAAAAAAAAAAAGGTTTAATTATAAAAATTATATATGAAATAATAAAAAGAAAGGTTTTATTAATAAGTTTATTAGTAATTTAAGATTAATGTAAATGTACTTATAAGTTATAAGGGAGTTGTGATTATAATATAGAGAATGACTGTATTTGTTTAACTATTATATAATTTATAACTATTATTATATATTAAAAAAAATTCTATTTGGAATTAAAATATACAAATTAATATAGATTACATATATTTCACATTTGAGATTTGGAATTATAGTAGCCAAAAATGTACAAAATAATTTAGATTCTTAAAATTTTTGGTATATTTATTTTAAGGTATTAAAATTATCTAAATTTACATTGGCTTTACAAATCCTTCTTTAAAATTTAATTCGGCCAACATTAATTGATCGACATAAAATTTACCCTTTTTGAAAACACGTGTTTGAACCGGGTACGGATCGAAACTTCCAAAATAAACACCAATTAACAATTTAATTTGTCTTTAACTATTAAAAGATTGTAATAAATTTTAAAGTTTATCCAAAGGTATAAGATGTGTACTTGAAGATTGAAAAGCTATTGAAACTACCAATTCTTCCAATTCTTCTAATTCTAGACAGACCTTTAAATTTCATTTCCAATAGAATTTAAAAATTATTGGAAAGAAAGAATTTGGAATTGGAAAGGATTTGGAGAATGGGAAGATTGAATTCCAATAAAAATAGTTCATTGAAAGTTTCACGTATTATTTCAGCTTATACTTTAGATTAAAACGGATTGACCATTAAATTATTATTATTTAAAAGTACAATATTAAAATTATGATATAAAAGATTGATTATAATCATGCAATTTTTTTTTTTTATTTCTTTCTTTAATGATAATAACCAATTGTACAATTGTACGAAACTTTTTATTATTTTATTATTAATTTATGATTTGCTTCTACAAATAAAATTTCTCTTATACTATAATTTGTAACAATACCCAACTTTTATTTTTTTGAATCAGATTTAAAAAAAGAAAAAAATAATCAAAACAATTATCATCGTAATTTTTTTATTTATAGGTGAAATATTTTTTTTTGATTGTAAACTTACAAATTTGGGATAATCTAATATTGCACGCGATAAATGATTTTACCTAGTTAAGAAAAAAGTATAAATGTATATTCCAGAAATATCCAAAATTTACTGACATCAAAGAAAAAAAACTGCTTAATGACATAAAGTTTAATGAATAATGAAATTTGTGTAAGAATTATTAGTTTCTGCACGTTAAAAAAAAATTTACCTTTCTTGTAAAAATCCTTTAACTTAAAATTATTACTTTTTGACTTTAAAGTTTAAGTTCATGCAATTTAAAATTTCATTCTTATCCAATTATGGTCAATTTTAATAAAGAAGTCCTTTTTTAAATACCGAAAAAAACCTATAATCGTAGGACGAAATTACCTAATTACGATCATGAAAGAAAATCCTTGTCCTGGTGTTGATTTACAATGCATAATGCATATATATATTACGAGCATCTTTTGATGGTATCACAAACAAAAATTGATTGGTAAATTAATCCGCAGAAAAAAAAAAAGAAAGACATCCTTGTAAAAATCTAATCAATTCGAAAATTTACAATTCAAAAGTTGATTTAATTGGTGTTATCATATCTTCTTTAAAAAAAATTTCTTATAAATATGCTCCTTTTTTGCGCTTTTCCAGTTTTTCCTCAGAATAAACATTCATTCTTTCAGAATAATAACAAAAAGAAAGAACAATAAATACTTTATTCAATTTTAATCATTCTCCTTAAACAATTTCCTTAATCTCCCTTATTTTATCAACAAAATGAAAGGAACCACTTTAATCTCTATTACTTTGGCAATTCTTTATTTGACAACTCCATCAGTTTTGTCAACTCCCATCGGCAGAAGAGATGTAACTCCCCCAAACGCTGACTTGAATGTTCACGGAGTTCCTATTGTAAATGCTGAGGCTGGTACTAAACGAAAAGTAGGCGCTGGAGTAGATCCTGGCGTTAATTTAGGTACTAAAGTCGGTTCTAATGAAGAGAACGTGGATCCTAACGTTCAAGCAGGCACTAAACGAGATGTTGCCGTTAATGCAGATTCTAAGTTATTGAAAGCTAAAGTAACCAAGCCTGATTCTAAACGAGATGTTGCCGTTAATGCAGATGCTGGCGTGTTGAAAGCTAATGTTGATGGTGAACAACCTAAGCCAGAATCTAAACGAGATGTTGGTGTTGATGCAAATACTGGCGTATTGAATGGTAAAATTGGCAGTTCAAAATCCAATCCTAATACTAAACGAGATGTTGGTGTTGATGCAAATACTAACGTATTGAAAGCTAAAGTTAATGGTGCAAAACCCACCAAACGAGTTAATGTTGATGTAGATATTGGTGAACCAGCTACTTCTGGTACTCCTCAAATTCCCCCTCAAATTCCTCCTGTAAAACCCACCAAACGAGCTAACGTTAATGTAAATATTGATGGACCAGCTACTGATGGAGCGAAACCTGGTACTCCTCAAATTCCTCCTCAAATTCCTCCTAAACCTACTAAACGACAAGTTAAAGTTGATGCAGTTACTAAAGTATTGGACGCTAAAGTTAATAGTAATTAAAATGTAAAAAATCCTGGGACTAATACCGAAAAATACAGACCTGGATAATATTAGTTCAAATTGAAGTTAATTAACTGAAAGTAATAAATTCATTTTTATTAATTATTATTATTCCTACAGAAACCCTTTACCCTAATATATATATACTCGACTTAAATTACCATAATAATATAAATATTATAAATAAAATCAACGATAGAATTTTTATTAATTTTTCTTAAATGTATTTAATGTACTTTTTCTTTAATATTTTATATACATAGAATTTATATATATCATGTATTGTGATGTATGTGTTTTTTTTTTTAATTAACCTTTTTTAAAAAAATAAATCGTGTTCTTAAATAATAAACATATTTATATAAATTTATAATGATTTTTTTACATTTCAAAATAAAATGTGAATTAATACATTTTTTTCGTTTATAATCTTGAAATGTTTTAATAGTATACCATTGTACAGTCCCCGGTGAAAATAATGGCGGTCAGTTTTATATAACACATAAATTTTATAATGAAGTTATGAAATTTTTTTTTATTTTCGGAAAGAGGAACATGTAATTTATTATTTAATAGTTGACTTCTGAATCAACACGTGATTCAATTTGATTTTGCATTCTATTATCTATTAACCTCGCAATTAATAACTATACTATTTACTATTTTCTTAAATTAAAGAAAATATTACTAGGAAACGGGAACCGTTGTAAGTCCGGAACGAAAAACTAAAATTTGCCGATTCATTGGGTGACGATCACGTGGCGGACAGAGAAACTCACGGGATCGATTTTTTTTCATAGTGCGTAAACATATATTGTCCTTCGCTTCGCTCCGGACAATTATTATTTTAGTTGTGGATTTTATATATTAAAAAAAAAAATTCTAAAAAGATTCTTACTTATTCTCAAAGAATTAAGAAATGGCTTATAAAATTGTTTCCTTTTTTTTTTGCATTACCATTTCTTAATATACTGCATCAAAAACAATCCAATGTTCTCATTAGAATTTGAGATATGGGCTTTTAAAAAAGAACAAGAAAAACTCATTATTGAAAGACATATATATATAATTTTTATATACTGTTGGCCACTGCATATAGTATCCCCGAAAATAGTACCCCCATGATTAAGGCCCGGGTACCCATGCTACCTAGTTCTTGAATAATACCCGGGGTATAACCTCTAATAATTTATCACTTTTCATATAATTTAATCCAAATATAGTACCCGGTTCCTCACGAGGTACCCGCGGGTACTATTCAATTTAAAATATCGAGTTCTTGAATAAGACCCTGGGTACTATATGCAGTGGCCAACGGTACCACTTCAAAATTATGGAATTTGTTATTTTATAACTTCAACATAATAAAAAAAGCTCACCAATAATCTAAAAATTATTTGATCAGTCAAAAATACAAATATTTCAAAGTTTTCGCCAGAAAATCGGAATATTTGACAAACAATTTAAAAAAAAATGTGAAATAACCATCATTTTGATTTTTGGTGGTATTTTTTTTTTTATAATATAGCTTTAATGTGGCATTTAGAATAAAAATATTTAAAAATTTTGGCATTTTTAATACATGTAGTAAGGAAGGGATATATTGGTTACAGGAATGCAAAAAAATTCCAGTTCAATTAGGAATTTCCTTAAAAATTTGATTTAAGAAAAAGTTACCAGTATTATAAATAGATTTAAATGTAATGAAAGCTATTTTGGGTAATAAATTCAATATTTGAAATTACTTTTTATTGTAATAGAAACTATTTTGGGTAATAAATTAAAAATAATGACCAGCTCTAAGGCCACATAAGTGATTGCCTTGGCCCTGAGAAAAATACTACAAAAAATTAAAAATAATGTCAATATTTGAAATTACTTTTTTTTTTTTTATTGTTTTTATAAATGAGCATTTCACTGTTCAATTTGATACTAAACAGAATAGTAATGAAGTTAAAAGCAGTATTCTTACCGCCATTCTTTTCGCCGGGGACTGTATGATTTAATATCGTATTCCCTACATATAATATATATGAAGGGCTTCGTAAAGCAAAAATAATTAAATTACTTGAGCCTGAAGGGTTTGAAAGGTTTAGAAAGGAGGATAACCCCTTCAAGGGAGAATATCCCATTCTTACTGGCGCAAGACCACTTCAGAGATGTTAGAGCCGTACAAGAATAAAGTTCGGCGCATCCACACGGATGGCGTAATATTGGCTAAAGCGTAATTCGATTATTCGAGCCAGTGTGCTTATTATCGATTTGTAATAAATAGTTATTGAATGGGGGAATAGAGATATCTATCAGTCGAAGACCGATATCTCCCCATCCAATAACTAAGTTATAGACTCATAGTTCGATCACTAGGAATACTGCGGTGACGGGTGACCAATAGGAATTAATGCTAATTTCAATAATATCAGTCAGTAAAATCCCGCATATTCCTAATCGACTGATTTAAAAGGATGGAATTTATATACAAGAAATTCAATAGTTTATTAAATTTACTTTCAACACTTAGAGAATCTGGACTACTATTAAAAAAGATGAAATCGTTAATTAATACAGTAATAAGATATAATTATGTTAAGATTGTGTACGCTGACATAATTCGACTGAAGAAAATGACAATTTTTTTGAACAATGATCTTTCCCATATTCATTATTCAATACTTTTATCCGTTTATCTAATGTTACTTTCTAATTGGAAAGAATCTGAATGGATACTCTAATATTATATTTGTGTTCTACAATTACAAAGTATTATTCCAATCGTAAATTGGCAAAAACTTCTCATGACAAAGTACAACTGTGAGAAAGTAAAAAGATGAATTAATAAGTACGAATATGCAAATCATTTAAACCCTAATTAAAATTAAAATATGATTTTTTTAAGGGATTTTTTTTTCCTGAAACCGCGTAACAGACCAACAAAGACACACGGTTGATATATAATTTACGTGTATGAATATTTAATAATTACACATAATCACACATATTGAGCACAAGTGAAACAATGATATTCTCTGACATCAGACAAAATATGATATGTGACAAGAATTTATAAATCTCGAAGATGGATTATAATTGAAACTATATTTTTATTATAAATTTTTTAAAATGGTAAAAATCCAAATTGATCAAACAATTAACTATAAATAACTTTACTGCGAATATTCAATACATTTGGGTGGAGATGGCGTCAAAAAACTCAAACTTAATGTGTTTCCAGTTTTTCATGTCGAAATTTATAGTATTGGTTCTAATAAATTATTTGCATGTACCGTACATGTATGTATGAATATAACGAAAATGCCAAGGATCGTGACAATCAAAAAAAATCCAAATGTTTAACCACATTTATTTTTTTCAAAACGCTAATACTTTAATGTACATAATTACTATTCCTACCGGAACGACCCTTTTTCGTACAAGTTTCAAAACCCTAAAGTTGGTACAGGTTTCAAGGGTATCCCTGATATACTCTGATTTAATTAAATTAATTGTCCATCATATTATGTAATTCGCTTATTTCATCTATCATTTTCTAATCATGTCAATCATGTAAAAATGAACTATACTTCTTTTTTCTATTCGATATTTACAACTTTTTTTTTTTTTTTGCTTTTTTTTTGCGTACATTTGTTTAAAAAAATTTCAATGTTTTAAAATAAATGAAGGAAAGAATAACGTTGATTGATTGGATATAAAAATTCCAAGCTTTTTGTATCTGATTCCTCAAATTAATTAATTAAAATTCATTAAGATCATTGTGATACGAAATTTAAATTCCATTATTCCATATAATGAAGTAAACAAATAATGTATGTAATATCTTTTTTTTTAAAAAAAATAAAAAATGTGTAAAAGAACGTGACTCGATCATTTATATACAATGAGAAACACGCGAACAGCATTTTTTCCGAATTAAGTACAGAATACAGAATACAAACTTTCGATCTATTCCGATTTCCGATATCTTATAATATATATAGTAAAATATTCTTTTTTTGGATCTACGATGATTATAATAATAATAATAAATAACTCCGTTCTTTTTTTTAAAAAATAATTCAAGTTGTTTTCCCAATTAGTTAATAATCCCATTTTTCACCAAAAAGAAAAAAGAAAAAAAAAATAAATTCCATGGAAATTAATTTCATAATATAATTCTGAAAAAAGACCCTTTTATGACTTCATGTAGATTTTTTTTTAAAAAAACACACGATTGAAATACAAACAATATTAGTGTTACTCACATTATATGTGTTTTCGGGATACACGCTTACATATCAAAAAAAAAATAATAACGATTTCTTAAAAGTCACACCAACAAAATTAAACCGCAGAATCGTTTCAACTAAGCTCGGAAAAAAAAAACCATTTATAAAAGATATTATATAAAAAACAAAAAATTAATTAATAGGTCAATTGACAATTCTTTATTTTTTTGGGGGAGAATTCCCTTCAAAAATATTGGGTGTGTAACATTGTTTCGCTCCTTATGTCAAATGATAATATAATCTAGAAATAATTTAATTGCATTAAAATAAAATAAAAAAAAAAAAATTTTCAAAGAAAAAAAATATTAACATTTCTTTGTACTTATTAAAAATTAATTAAATAACTCCGTCATCACCCCGCTATTATTATAATTATATTATACTATTTTATGAATAACGTGTAACATTTTATCATTTATCTTGAAACTGATTAAGGAACACAAAACAACCCTTTTAATTATTTTGTACCAATGAAAAATTGAATCTTTATTATTTTAAATAAGGAATTTTCTAAGATATCTGCAATTTGACGGTTAAAAAAAAACAAATAGGCCAATATAATTTATAATAATTATAAAACCTTTTCCCCTATAAATAAATATCATAATTAACTTTTTATATCAAACAGGGAATTTAAATGTTACACTTGTGAGATTTGTTTATATTATCCTAAATAATTATCCCAAGTAATTATCTATTCACGTGATATGATCGGCTCAAGTTTCGCCATTCGCTCATTACACCAATATGAAAAGGCTTATACAGTATATATAGTAATCTCATAGAAATTAATGATAAAAAAATTATATAAATACTCCAAGTTTGCCACCTTCCCATTTTCTTCAAAAAAAAAACAGTTCTTCAAAAAAGATAACTTATCTCAATTAATTTACAAAGTAATTGTTTAACCGGCTTAAACAACACAAATTTCTATCCTTACCTTTAAACCTTCATTTTTTACATCAAACAAAATGTTGAGCTCAAAAGTTATCTCATTTATCACCTTTTTCGTTGTTATAATCGCTGTTGTTCTTTCAGTTACCTCTGCCCCTGTAGCTGCTCCAGGTAATTTTTTATATTAATTAACTAAATGAGCAATTGATTTATCAAAAGTACATTCTGATTTATTTTATTTTATCTTTTTTTATTATATTAGTTGATGCAGATGAAGCAAATGGTAATCAAACTATTTTACAATCCGATTCTGTCCCCGTCGCTTCTGATGGTGGTGACATTTCACTTTACAGTGATGATGATGCAAAGAAAATCCCTGAAGACGTTGTCGACAAGGGCAACTCTGCCAAAGGAGATGGCAAAGGACAATAAGAATTTCTTACAGGAAGATAAACGCCATCCCTTATTATAATAACGACATAATTAATAATTACACATATAAATTAATTTAATAAATATTATGTGGTTCTTTTTTTTCTGAAATTTTTTAATATAAAAGGTGTAATTTTATATTATTTGTAATTTATTTTTTTTTTCACCGTCCCTTAGAAATTTAGTTTTTAATAAAGGATCTTTGTTTTAGAAGTGTAAAAAAATTATATTTTTTAAGTCCCACTATATAAATCTAACTTTTTAATTATAATTTTCTGTTCAAATAAATGATAAAATAAAAAATTTGAATAAAATAATATAAACCTTACATTTTATTTCTATTTGACCATTGTTGATGACGGGATTTATGTTGTTACACGATCATCTAAACATGTAATATTTTATTTTAAAAGTAATTTTTGTTCGTTTTTCGATAAAATTGGGTTTCGCTCCGCTTCCGCTCTGCAAAATTCTTTCAATGTTTATTCCGAGTTATTACTTTGTTATAATTACTTTGTTATAATAATTACTTTGTTCGGAAAAACTAATTGTAGTTAATAACACTTTACGTATTATTTCTTTTTATTTGTTCCAATTGGGCCAACAATGTGGCTTGGCGTTTTTGTAACACTATATACTAGCCTCATTAGTAAAATGATTATGATTATCTTAACACCTATTACAAACTATATTAGCCTCATTGGTAAAATGATTACCTTTTTACGTACTTATATTAGCCCCATTGGTAAATGATTACTTTTTACGTCATCTACTTAACACCTATTACAAACTATATTAGTCTCATTAGTAAAATGATTGCTTTTTACGTGATCGTCTTAACACTTATTACAAAAAAGTACAATCAAATTAATTTCTACTAATTTTACTAATAATAGAGTTGATTTAATTGGGATTAGATCTACATTTTTTTTATCATACAAAATTTGGGAAACACGTTTAGGATTTGATTCAAAGGTATTCGGTATTCCGGATCTTCTTAAAATGCATCAACGGATGGTCAAGTAATGGTTAATTAGATTAACAAAATTTAAATTTTAAAGTTTCGAGTATATATTATATAATCACTCACAATCACTCACATATATCTGAAACTCGGTAAAAACTTTTTTGAAACTTTTTTATGTGTAAAAAAATATTTACGTAAAATCGCGTTAATCAAATACGTCGATAATAATCATATTACATAATTTAAAAAAAAAAAATACCCATGTATTTATTTATTTTACATATTGTTACTTAAGAAATTATATTATTTTTATTACAAAAAAAAATCAAAATCATTCATAACCCTCCCTAATCACTATCGGATACTGCGGTATGATATTTTTCAACTAAAGTTAATCTTTTTTTACCACGTCGAAATTTTCTTTGATTAATAGATTTATAAGTATCAGTTCTACTAATACGAAATACTTCATATTCATCCACATTAAATCTAATATTATCATCAAAATTTGTTAAAGTAGTTGGTGAAGATGTAGTAACATTATTCGTAAGATTCCATTCATTTCCCCAAATATCATTTGAATTTGTTGAAGAAAATGATGCTCCTAAACCGAATGTAGTTGAACTCCATCTTTTTTCATCATTTGATGATGATTCCCCTGTTAAACTTTTTATAATAGTATCACAAATACCTTGTCTATAAGATTTTGAATTAGAAGAACATTGTTCATCTCTAGATAAATTTTCTACACACCATAAATCTCCATCTCCAAAACATGGTCCATAAGTAGCTGAATTCCAAATTGCTTTTTCAGGTTGTAAAATACGTGATAATTGTGATTGTGGATTTGATCCATAACCTAAAGAAAATATAAAACTATCTCTTGTTGTAATCCAACCAGATTGAGATTGCCATGAAGTTGGATTATACCCTCCAATAATATGATCCGTACCACTTATTCTCATTATAACTAAAGTTGGTCCTTTATTATCACATTTTTTATGAAATTCTTCAGCTGAAAATCCATCAATACTTCCTCTAAGTAATAAACCAAAATGATATTTTAAATTATTATTATTATTAATGTTATTATTATTATTATTATTATTATTATTATTACGTATTTGTCCACCTCCATCAATCCAATTTGCTATAATTGATATCTGTTCTTGTATTACGAGACATGATCTAATGGCATTATTTGGTAAATATGTTAATGATTCTTTTTGTACTCCTGTATAATAAAAACATTCTAAATCTTCATATAATGAATCTGGTAAACAACTTTTAAATGGTCTAACCATTTGATAAAATTCTGATGAATTAATTTCACAAAATCTAATAAAAGGTATCCATTGTCGTAATGTTTCTTCAAATTTATTAAAATCTTGACTTGTCCATTTAGTTATATCATTACTAAAATTTGGATGTTTTGATGTACACCATTTAATTATATGATTCCATATATTTATCTCTCTCATTTGAAAATTACGTTGTTCTAATACGAATTCTAATGTATCTTGATCTATAGTAATAAAATCATCCGCCATTAATAATACATCTGGTTCATTATTAAGAATATTTTGACAAAAATCTTGTAATTCTTTTGAAGCTTCTAATTTAACTGAAGTCCTATAAACAAATGCGAAACTTTGATGTAACCATAATCTGTGATGATTAAGCAAATGATCTTGCATGAGGTCATGTAATTCATTCATTAATAATTCATCAGCTGCTACCAATATCTCCAAACATCTTTCCCCTGATTTTTCTGCTAATGCCATTGTTCCAGTATAAATATACCTATATATATATATATTTAAAAAAATTTATTAAAAAAAAAAATAATAATAAAATAAAAAAAAAATAAAAAAAAAAATCCATATTATAAACCTACTCCAAAATATCACCAAATACTAATGCAGATATATTGGGTTTATTAAAAACTATTGCATCTCCTTCTTTCTTTACCCATTGACTTGATAAAGCAGTATTAAAATAAGGTGACCTAATTCTCAATATACCAGAATGTGCTCTAAAAGTTTTAATGATTGGTTCTTTACCAGCATATATAATTACATCATGATTATAAGCTTCTTTTAATAATTTATGAAAATCTCTTGAAAGAGCTCTTAACTGTTCAAGTGTCATTTTGTATAAAAAAAAATTTAATTGAGGGAAGAAAGAAGAGAAAAAAAAAAAAATAAAATAAATAAATAAATAAATAAAACCGAGCAAAATTTCGGGGATTTAAATTCATTTATATATAAAGTTAAAATATGACTGAATTTGGTAATTGTTTTTTGTATTGAAGGTGATAGTACGAGTACAAATGCAACAATTGTAACGTAAAAAGTATAATTGTAATACACACGGTTATTTACAATCTAAGTTTAATTTTATACCATAACGGAAAATGCCTTTACATATTTTGGGATGATTGAAAAACTTATGACTTACCATAAATTCTATTTCATTAGATTTATTTGGTACTCAAATAAACTTTTTGGGTAAAATTTTAAATAATTTCCGGATTCTAAAAAGAAGGAAACACAAAATCATTTTAATCATATTTAATCATTGATAAAAAAAAAAAAAAATAAACTAAAAATAGTACGATTATTAGGTAAATTTTTTTGAAACTCAGTAAAGAATTTATCCTGCTTGGTAGTCTATTATAATCTTTTTTTTTTTTTTTAAAATTTTTTAAATTTTTTAAATTTTTTTTTTTTTTTTTTTCTTTTTTTAAAGAAATTTTTTTAGACAAAATTGACAAACAATTTAGAACTCGGCTGACGTTATAAAATTTTTGAAAAAAATATTATTATGAATAATCTATTTATTAATTGAACTACCCAAATACTCCTTAAGTACACCCAAATATTCCAAAATATTTCCATAATCAAGTTATTTTGTCGATTAATAACGTTAATACGTTTATTATAATGAAAGAATAAATTTTATTGTGGAAAAACATAAAAAAAAAAAAATCAATAATTTGCAGGTATGACTTGAAAAACTTCATAATCCTCATCCTCAAAATAATTGCTAAAACCGATATCTTCATAAATAATACCAGGAAAAACGCTCCAATCTAATCCAGAACGAACATCCTTACTACCCCAACAAGGACCACCATTATTATAACAATAAATAGCTTTATCGTGTTTTTCTTTAATAACGCGTCCAATTTTTGCCGTATTCTTATCAGACCGATTTGATAATGTGAATATAAAACTTTCCATGGTCGATTTCCATCCTGTACCATTCCAATCCAATGGATTGTAACCTCCAATAATTCTATCCGAATTCTTTTTCTTTATGATTACAATATTTGCTCCTTTGTCATCACAATGATCATGAAATGATTCATACGTATCTCCATCCCGACTTGCTCGATAAATAAGTTTAAATTCGTAATTGGATGTATCTGAGATTTTTTCTTGTTTATCAATCCAACTGGAAAAAATTGGTGAGAGTTCATTTATATCCAATAAATTAGATTTCTTTTCCATCGAGGGAACTGGTTCATATACCGTGCCATTTCCATTTATTGTTTCTTTGGGAGGTAATTTTATTGAATCCATTAATTTCTCCAATCCGAGTTGATCTGCAGCTTCTAAAAGATTTTTTAACTCGGAAAATTGTTGTTCGTTAAAATCAAATTGTCCTGTGTACAAATATCTAAATAAAGGTATGCAAAGATATAAAATTATTAAAATTGCTATATATATATATATATATTTATTTATTATTATTATTATTATTATTATTTAATGATTATAATAATAATAATTAAGTTTTTCTTACCTCAAGATGACTGGCCAAACAGTTGAATGAATACTTGATTCTTCAAAATAATGTACGCCATCCTGTATTTTATTGGTATCCAAAGCTGTTGAAAAATATGGAGCTCTTGCCCTTAAAATAGTTGAATGAGCTTTAAATTCTTTTAAAGGGTCATCAGAACTTTTAATTATAACGTCGTATGGATCACCATTTTCTAATAAATTTTCAAAGTCTTGAATAATATCTGATAATGCCATTGAAGAAGATTCTGAATATTTTGTGTAACGTAGAAATTTTCAAGTTTTTGGGGATTAAAAGCGATTTTTATTTCATATTTATGGGTTTTTTTTTCAAATTTATTATTAGCCATATAAATTAATGATTTACTAGAAACTTTATTTTTGAAAAAATACTTACTGGTTTGGATTTAATTAAAAACTTTTTACTCGTTCAATGATATCTTTATAATCCACTTATTAGGAATATAATAAATATCATAAATATCATAAAAAGTTAAAAAAGTTTTATTTGTTTGATTTTGCATCACACGTCATGCCAAGGAATTTAATGATATGATCCCATTATTTCATTCTTTTATTCTTTATATTCCTTTTTTCGGTTTTTTTTTTTTTTAAAAAAAAAATAAATCTAATCAAGATATGATTGTAAATGATCTAATACATTCCACGATATGATCATCGTTTCAGCACGAAAAAAATCTATCGAATTTTTTTTTTTTTGAAAAAAAAAAAAATAAAAATTTTTAATTCGTCAGCCAAGAAAACTTTTTGTATCATTGATACTAACTAAAAAATACTTATTACGCATTATCTCGGATCTATTTATTTATTTACTTTAACAATTCCAAATATGTCATTAATGTTTCTGTTACCCAGATCCCCCATTCCATTTGCGTAATGATGATCAAATTTTGCAAATTACTTTGAAGCTTCAAAAACATGCAAAAAATGGTTGCATTTAATCTTTCAAAGAATTTTTCACGTTTGATTTCTTTTTACATTTCTTTATCGATTTTTCTTGCAGTTTATTCTATCAACTATAGACATTTTCTGTTGAAAAAAATTTCAAATAACTTACGTAAATAAAGTACCCGAGTACAAAGACCCGAGTACAATTACCTTGCGATAATTTGCGATAATGAACATATTTGTAATCCTTAATTAGATATATTAGATATGATAACATATGTATTTGTATAATCTTTCTATCTATAATTACTTGTTGATTTTCTTAAGTGTACAAAAAAGATCCTTTGAAAGAACAAAGATTATGTAAATCGTGAAAGAGGGTGAAAATCTAATACATATATGTTAACAAGTGTAAAGTTATTTTATTGTGTGTTATTGTGTGTTCACTTTATTTGGAAATTTTGGAATTGAAATCATAATATTTTATTTAGGAATGGTATTACAAAAAAAAAAAAGAAAAGTGGGAATCATGATTACAATAATCTCTAAAAATGATTTTCAATCTTTGTCCATACTATGTATACTTTTTTTTTTTTGTGTGCCCGATTTTTTTTTTTTTGTCGATCTGAATAAATTAAATAACAAACATAGTTAAGGTTTTTACACAGACACTTATCACGTGTAATTCGTGTAAAATTACTATCATTTTGATAATATTTAGTTAACGCCTAAACTTGTACTTTTTTTTTTTTGTTTTTATGGTTAATTAAAAGTTAACGATATTAAGTAAGCGGGAAAAGACGGATGGTTTTAATACTATCCGTTCCATGAATGGTTAATCTTATCAATTTTTAGTGAAACGATCAGGTGAATTTCATTTCATCATGGATGGGAAATGAATCTTTATTGGTGATTTAAATCTCAGATTGTATTTTATCAAAAAAAAAAAAAAAAACTGAAAATCGGTTTTTTACTGGTTCACTAAAATGGATCTTAGATTTAATTGGTAAAAAAATTTTGAATGGTCTTTTTTTTTTTATTATTTTCCAGTGCTAATTAATAAGTTGTCGTAAAGATATCGTAATATATCGTTAGATCGTAATAGAAAAAAATAATAATTTTTCAAGTGAACCTATATTTAAAAACCAATTATGTAATTATATATTTATTTCCTACGCTTATTCTTTTTCTAAATTGACGATACAAAATATTAGTATGTTTAACTATAACATAGAAAGAAAATATTTGATTGAATCACCTTATTCTTCTTTGCGTCAATTCTAGCTTGGATATTTTCTGTACGTTTCTGTTGTCTTTCGGCCATACTTTTGTTAACAGATTTGATACGTTCTTTCCTATAATTTATTCCAAGAAAAAATGTTTCATCAATAAACAATCCAGTGAAGAATAACAAATATGAATAGGAATAAAAATTTAATATTACCAAACTTTTTCGCTTTTCTTTTTTTTTATAATTTTCTTTTTAATGGTTTTTTTCAATAATTTAGGGTCATCTTTAACTTTTTCTCCTTCTGCCCTTTTAATTGCTTTGCTCCATGATTCTTTCTCATGTAATTCTACAGCCTTCATAAAATTTAAAGAAAATATCAACATATTAAAAAACATAATAAAATTATGTATGTATATACAAATAAAAATCATCAAGTTACTTTTTCAGGATCTTTTTTCTTTAATTCTTTCACTTTTTTGATTTTGTCTTGTAACTATAATTAAAATAAAATTAGAATGATATATTATGTATTTTTGAATTGCAAGAAGGTTCAATTTTACCTTATTTATAAGATGAATATCATCAATTTTTTTCTTTTTCTTCTTCCCTCCCGCAAAATCAAATTTAGTAAACGTAAACTGTAAATCACTATTTTCGTGCTGAAAATCTTCTTCAATATCATCATCACCTATTTTCCTTTTAATACCTCCACTCTTCTTAACATTAAGATTTTTCGTATTTTCATCCTTTTTAATATCTTCATTCTTCTTAGCATTAAGATTTTTCGTATCTTCATTCTTCTTAATACCTCCACCTTTCTTAACATCAAGATTTTTCGTATCGCCATCTTTCTTAATATCTCCACCCTTCTTATTATCAAGATTTTTCGTATTTACATCCTTTTTAATATCTCCATTCTTCTTAATACCACCCTTCTTAACATCAAGATTTTTCGCATCATCTTTTTTAATATCTCCGTTCCTCTCAATATCCTCATTCTTCTTGATATCTCCATTCTTCTTAATATTATTTTCTCCATTTTCCGCTTTATTGCTGCCATCTTTATTAATTTTTGATTGCTTTCGTCTTAATTTCTTTTCTTGTTTCTTTGCCTCATTTAAAGCTTTTCTTTTTTCATTTTTAGACGATTTAATATTATTCTGCTGCTCTGAAAGAATAATTTTGTCAAGACGTTCTGGAATCGATATTAACTTTTGTGGTTCTTTTTTATTTGATTTAGAAGGATGATCTAAAGTTTGTAAATTAAGATTAGTCAATGGATAATGTAAATAAATAATTATTATTATTACCAATTTTAGTTTCATCTTTCTTGTCGAATTTGTCATTGATATCGTTCTCAGAATCTGACTGAGATCTATTGTTGCTTCCTTTATTTTCACTTTCATCATCATCTTCCTCTTCGTCATCATCGTCGTCTTCTTTCGCTTGTTCTTTATCACTGTCATCTTCATTATCAACTTTGACATCATCATCATTATCTTTATTTATTTCTATCTTGTCTTCAACTATTTTATCATCGTCATTATTATCTTCGATGTTATCATCTTCATCGCCCTCTTCTTCATTCTGCCTTTTTCCTTTTTGTTTTTCTTGTCTAATCTTATTCAATTTTTCTTTTTGAATGTCTTGTACAGTTTTTAAATTATTAGGATCAAGCTTAAAGTCAAAAAATAAAAATAAAAAATAAAAAAATTTAAATTAAATAATTTATCATATAAAATTCAATTAAAAGCGGGATATTCTACCTTTTGTCTTTTTGCTTGTTTTTTCTGTTCTCTGATGACTTGTTTGGAAAGTTTTTTTCTTTTATTAGGTTGAAATTTATTATCTTCCTCCGTTGCTTCTGGCTTATGAAACAAATTAAAAAAATCAAAATCAAAATCAATTAACTATTATATAACGTTATAAAAATAAAGTACAAATTACTTTTATAATACTTTACATCATTCTTGAAATAATGTTTTGGAGGAATTAAACTTATCACCGAATCAATGAATTCACTATGTTCTTTTAACCTATCCTATATGTTATATATTTATAGTAATTCAATAAATTAAAATGTATTTCTTGTAAAAAGAAAAATTTTCAACGTTTTTTTTTTTGTTAAATTTTACGTTTTAAAATAAATTTAAATATATTACTTCTATTCCATCAAGTGTCCATGAAAATGGTATCATTTTTTCTCTGATTATGTGGAAGTGTGTGGGCAACTTTAATATATATATGTTGCGCCTCAGATCGATTCGCCTCAGATTAAAATCGTCATGTGAGGTGCATCAAATTTTATTTTCACGCTTTATTTTTATTTTTACTTTATATTTTCTTTTTAGGAACATTATTAACTGTTCCTTTTTTTTCTTACAGGAACTGCTATTTGGAACGGTTATTTTGGATTTTTAAGGTAGGTGACGCTTATATATATATATATATATTGTTTTTCTTTATAGGAATGCTATTAACCATTCCTTCTTCCTTTTTCTTTGCAGGAACCTCTCAGAACGCCATTTGGAGGTTGGAATAGCATGTGAGGATTTCTTTCGCCTTCCTTTATGTTTTTTCTTTCTAGAGATGCTAATAACCATTCCTCCTCCTTTTTTTTCTTTACAGAAACCTCACTGAACGCCATTTGGAAGTTGGAATAGCAGGTGAGGGTTTTCTTTTGTCTTTTCATTTTGTTTTTTCTTTTAGGAACGCTATTAACCATTTCTTTTACTTTTTTTCCATATAGTAACTGGTTGGAATAGCTAATTTGCAGGTGTTTTAATTTAAAAGTTGGAAAATTCAAAAAGTTTATTGTAAAAAATTAGTTTTTTATTAAATTTGAGAAATTTTGTAATAAAAATTATGTATCTTCTACTATTAAATTAAACCAATGAATTAATTTGACCATCATTATGAATTTACTTTTTTAAATCTAATTCTTTTATTAATCATAATACAATATTATTTTTTCTATTTCAAATATCAATCTTTTTTGTTTTCTACAACATAAACTCTTATTACTATATATCCATTTGATCTATATCCATTTGACTATACATATAAAACAAAGATTTTTTATTGTGACAATAAAAAATTGTCATATATAATATTATATAATTCTCAGACTAATTCTTGACACTGCAATGAGTATTCTGATCAATTCCTATAAAGAAAGGAAGAGAAGGAATGGTTAGTAACATTTCTAAAAATGAAAAATATATAAAAAAATTTTAAACTTACTTTAGAAAATGGCTGTTCTATGGGGTTTCTGTAAAGAAAAAAAGAAAAATGAACGGTTAGTAGCGTTCTTAGAAAGAAAAAACATAAAGGAAGGCAAAAGAAGACCCTCACATGCTATTTAAAGAAAAAAGAAGAATGGTTAATAGCATTCCTATAAAGAAAAACAATATATATATATATATATAAAACATCCACCCACCTTAAAAAATCCAAAATAACCATTCCAAATAATAATGTCCTAAAAAGAAAATAAAGAAAAAATAAAAAATAAAGAAAACTGGTAACTATCTTTATATCTTAAAGAAAAGGCGTGAAAATAAATTGCCCTCAAATCGAATCTGAGGCATCTCAGGTGATTGATGTTTCACTTCACGCACCTCACATGACGATTTTAATCTGAGGTGTGTGAACTTCGATTTGAGGCAAGAATCGACAACATATATATGTCATTGTGTAACTGATTTTTCACATCTTCCGCAGTTGTTCCAAGTCAAAAATTGATACATGACGATATATTTTTGTACAATTCACTGATTTGTGAATTTTATTATTATTAGTAGAATTGAGATAAATATATCTATTTAAGAGATAATTTAATAATATCAGATATAACTAGAATAATAAAATAATGTTATTCTGGCTTCAAACAAATGTGAAAAGACGGAGCCATCAAAATATCCACATTCCCTGAAGATCTATAGTATATAAACGTTTCCCTTTTTTATCATGGACTAAATCAATTACATGGTATAACTACTCAGAGTTTATCTGTTTTCTTATAATTACAAAAACAATTATGTGAAGGATGTAAATATAAAGTAGTGTTCAATCAAAAGAGTTACTCTCTATAGCTTGAATATACCAGAAGTTCCACAAGTACAATTTCAAGTTCATCTTGGGACAAAGAAGTTAATAGAGATAATATAAAAAGGTGAGTATTTTTCAATCCACCCGAAGTACTCTCAATTCTTTTATATAACTTTAGTTTTCTAAAGATAATAGAAGTAATACAATATGCTACAGAATGCTACAGACGATCTTTGTGATATTTTATCTGAGCCTTCTGTTGGAATACAACAATAGAGGATTGTGTCAAAATGATCAAGTTGATACAATTAAAAAGTTGATCAAAAGCAACACAGATCAAGTTGTGTGCAATAGAATTGAAAAAGTAGCACAAGCTTAACTTTTGATAAAATAACTGTGATGAGCCTTTATAAAATAAGCTGAAATAGAAGAACTCACAAAGGGAAGCAGTTGAATGTAGCTTGTATCCAAATTGCAGGAATGGATTTGAAAAATATATTAAAATCATTAATAGATGATTTTTTTTTTTGTATTAAATGTAAATAAAAAGTTAATTTCTTAATCATAATAAAAGATTTATAAAACAACTATTATGTATGTACTGTAGATAGTAATCAAAATTCACAATGATAAATTTTTCCAAAGTAAAACATATGAAAATAAAGTTAAAATCAAGATAGTTAAGTTCATGCTATTCTTTTAGTTTTTCAAAATTCTCTTGATTATAAACTTTAGAAAATGCTTTAATTAAAAGATTTTTTTATTTTATTATTATACTCAAAGGAAGCAGTATTAATCAAAAGATAATCTTTATCTTCAAACCTATTCTTAATAGTATTATCTCTTTTCACAATAAACTTTTGACTACAATTATTATGTTTGATATTGATATAATCTTCATTTTTAGAAGTATCACCTTGATTATTTTTTTTTAAAAAAGTATATTAAGGTAAAATAAAACATGTTTTAGATGATTTATAATATAAATATAATTATATGATCCAATAAAAATTTATGAAATAGAAGTAGTATCATTTTATTTTATCATATTAACTGTACCTGCAAAGTTCACAATACTATTAGATTTAAATTGATATAAATCATTGCAAATTGAATAAAAGAAATAAAGTTAATGCAATCATTTTAAAGTAGCAGTTATAAATTTACCTTAAATAACATCTGTTAAATATGTTTATACAAATGTTTTGCAAAAAATCAAATACAGTAATACCTTTCTAAGTATACCATTTCCTTTGAAATAACAGTAAAAAAATAGTAGAATGTACATTTAGAAAAGGTGTCAGTATATTTATAAAAAGTAAAATATTAAGAGCTTTATAAGTTGAAACCAGACCTATCATATACTTAAAAAGAATTTATATAGTGTATGTACTTATAGAAGATGTATTTAGAAAGGTGTTACTATAATGATATTATAATTATTAAAGTATTAGAGATAATTACACTTTTTTATATTTTTATTTGAATTTAAGAATATCACTTTATTGTTCTTTACAATCTTTCTATAGATATATATAAGTTGTACATTCTTGATAAAAAACTTAATATAAAAACAGATTAAAAAATTTAAAGCTAAAAATTTTTTTTAAATAATAATTAGAAAAATTACCTTAAACTGATATATTTATAAAAAATACAATATTTAAACTTTTTTTTAAATATAAAGTACTTTTTTTCTTTTTTTTTTTTTTTCTGCAATGCATTTGATAGTTTATTAAATAGTAAAATGATTTCAGATATTACATATAGTAAATAAAAAACCTAATCTAACCATCTAATATAATTAACTATCAAACCACTCGTCATGCTACATTGAGCATCCCACGTATGCACTGTCGGGTGAAGTTTTTGCTTAAAGGGTATAGTTCGTGTGAAACGGCCATTCTTAGCATAAATGCCCTCTTTCTTCACAAGACACATTGCAAATAAAAAAAAGATTATGTTGATAAAGAATAAAACCCTGATATATAAATTCCATTCAGATCGATTCTTTCACAAGTGTCCTGAAAGCGTAGAAAAAGAGAAGCTTTTTCTATCCAAGTTATAAGATCCAAGGAACGCATTACAAGACCAGGACTGACCAGCTGTAGATAAAGTGAAATGTTCCCCATTTTTGAAATCAACTAGTGTAAGGTCTCATTTACCGTTTGAATGTTGCAAGGTGTAAAGAGAGACAGATTCTAACATTGGATGTTTGTTGTTATAACTTAATTTCTTGAACACTGTAAGCCAGTGTTGGGTTTTGGACTTGTCCAATTGGTTTTTTTAATTGGACAATTTTGGATTGTTCAAAACCAGTTTTGGACATAGTTTTGGACATAGTTTTGGACAGTTTAAAACTGCTCAAGAGTCCTAATATTCATCAACTGAAACTAAAAATAAAATAAAAATATAATGTTAAAATGTTAAAAAAGTAAATATTTAATATTAATTAAATGATAAAAATTAATATAAAATCAAATAATATTAAAAATTAATATTTAAAGATTTTTGAAGTAATTTAATAATTGAACTAGAATTAAAATTAACCAAAATTAGTCATAATTTTAGCCAAAATTAAATTTTTTGTCATGTGATCTGTCCAAAACATCCAATTGTTCAATTGCCCAACACTACTGTAAGCTGCCACCCATCATTAACCTCATCTAACCAGTCAAAGTAAACTCTATCCAAATTTTTAAGAAAACATAAAAAGATAGCACTATAATTAAATCTAAAAAAAATAACTAAACATATATAAAAAATGAAAAAAGATAAAAAAAATATATGAAATGTAGAGGAAACTATTTCTACCGATCACATGGACCATTTTTTAATGAAATTTCAGCAATAATATTTTTGAAAGACTTATTATAAAAAACGGCTTCTATTGCTAACAACTTTACTTTATAAGAACTTGAAGATTTCCTTAAGCTACTTGACGAAAAGATGTTCACTTTCTTACTAGAATAAATGTTGCAAGTTTTTAAGATGACTAGCGCAACTGGCATTTATCAAACTGCCACAGACTTCGAACCTGCTATATATAAACGTTTGGAAGGATTACAAACTACATATGCTGACGAGTTCTACGAACTGGGTGTACCTAAAGAAAACTTCAACACTTTCCTTTTCTTTACTATTAATTTCAAAGATGCGTATACATGCCTTCTCTATGATAGGGATCGGAAAAGATTCGATTAAAATCGAAACTATCGAAAATCGATAAGAATCGATTTTAAATCGAATCTCGAATAAAAATCGAATCTACTTATTGTGGCGCAGTTTCGTTAATTTGACCGTAAATTATTATTTGTTCATAATAGTTAATTTTGGCCAAATTCATAATTCCGCCCGCGAATCACGTGACAGAACACAAACTTCCTAAAAAGGAAATTTTATCTCCCAATAAAATTCAAGTTGCTATCGCACAAGGTTGTACAAATTTCCAAAAAGGAAATTTGTTCGTCGATCACTGTAATTTTTTTGTAATCACGTGATATGTGTTTAAACACACATCTACCCCAGTATCGCCAGAAAATTTTTTCACCCCCACGTGACTTTGGCCGGCATTATGAGATTTGGCTGGAATTAAGAAATTAACCATGTGTCNGAAAATTTTTTCACCCCCACGTGACTTTGGCCGGCATTATGAGATTTGGCTGGAATTAAGAAATTAACCATGTGTCGAATAACGTGTGATGAATAGGATTTTAGACACTGAAAAAAATCTAAGTCCCCAGAATACTTATAAAAAATGAGAAAGTGGAGGGATGTGACACGGGTGACAAATTATTTAGGGTCACGTGGGGGTGAAAAAATTTTCTGGCGATACTGGGGAAGATTTAAACACACCTATTATAAATAGTATAAAAAAAAATCGGTATTTGCGAAACGATTAATCGCGATTAATCGATTTTAGAATCGATTCTAATAATGGGAATCGATTCCAATCCCTACTCTATGAGACGGCAAAGGATTACATGGGAAAAAAAGAAAAGGCATCACGTGAGACACAAACAATAATAAATGCACCCAATAGAATTCTGGGAATACCAGATTTCACTCTGATAGATATGAAAATTATTGAAAAGCCTAAACACCAATCACTAGTTATACCTCCTGTAACACAAATAAAACTTAATGTACAAGCTTAGCCGTATACCCCAAGAGGAAAGAAGTGTGTGACATATGCCAATATCACAAAAGGTTCCAGTTTTGACAATTTCTGGTCTACGTCACCTTCCCTTGAGGATAAATGGAATATCCAATCTATTTCAGCGAAAGGTAGTACTAACACTAAATCACAGCAGCAGAAGATTAAAAAGTCTAAGCTTACACTGAAGAAAATGATTTCAACTGTTATGACTGGATATACACCAGAAGATAAGGCTAATGTCTGTGAGATAGTTATTTATGATATCCACTCCACCATGCTATAACTTGATATCCTTACGAATCTAGAGAAATAGGGTCAGGTAATTGTGTTCAAAGTAAAGACGTAAAAGAAGTATTCGACTGTGACTGTGTCTATTGACTTCAACAAGTGAACTTTGACGAATTGGAATAATGGAGTTTGGACAGCTCTGTTTAGAAGAATGCCTGTATGATAGTTTCCTGTGTCCTGAACTCTGAAGCAATGTAAAGAACGTGAGAGATTTCAGGTTGTAGTTATGGATATTTTTAAATCTGTTACTAACAATGTAGTATACAATACGGAGAACCCTGCCTAATCGATGCTATCGCAATTAGATGGTACTTTACCTTTCAAGATTATTCAAGACTGTGGGTGTAGGAAGTTGATCGCGTATTTTGACACTTAGGCAAGCCTAAATAAAGCATTCAATACAGATTTTAACTTTGAAGAATTTAAAGGTGTTTGGACTTGATATTTTTCGTCCACTTTGAATCGGCCTAAAAATAAGCCACCAAAGAAGATGGATTCTACTTAGAAGTAGAACTAAGACAAGAATCCAAATATTTTGCAAAAGGACTTAGATGGACAGAAATAGAAGGAAAGTCTTTAGGAAATAAGAAGCAATCTACTTTAAAAAATAAAGGCTTTGATGGCAATGACAAACTTACAATTTTAGCTGAAATTAGGGTATTGCTAAAATCACTGACCAACTGACGGGAGGACTGGACCAAATTGGAGTTTTGGGATGTTAGAGTACTCGCCATCTAGTCTAAATTTTATTAATCCTTTTTTTTTACCCTATTATTTTTGTTTAAAATCCTTTTTTTTTTGTTTGTATTACAGTAGGTCTTGTTGAATTTTCCTAGGATTGAGACTAAGAGGAGGGCATCCCCTTTAAGAAAGAATAATTACACATTGGACTTACTCTCATAGTCCCAAATTCAGCCTGATAGTGCACACGTGGGATCCTCTTGTAAGATAATGAGTTGTTTATTAGTTACTAAATTAGTTTAAATTTATGTTGTATTACTCGTATATGTATTAACGTGAATTTAATTTTAATAAACTAATAAATGTGTTGCAGCGACAAAAAAAAAAAAAATATATGAAATATAGAAGCAAATAAGAAAATCTGGGCGCTATAATATCGAATTTTGTCTTTATCCTTCTTTTTCCAAGGTGTGTAAGCACAGTTAAATATGAGGTCCAAGGTCTTTATCAAAGGTTGTTTAAAGAGAAACTAAAGGCAGTTAGTTCCACAATATTGGATAAAGGTTGGACTAAATATTACACCGAAAAAGCCATTGAAATTCCGTAAGAGGTAATCCGTTCCGTGAGTTATCCCAAAATGGAAGTTTTCTTCTGAGTTTTGAATTATTTGTTGTTGTACTAGCAGTTTTCATAAAGTATTTAAAAACGCGTCAAATTTGCGACATGTTTTGATCCAAAATGCTTCGGGTGGTGTTCTAATTGGAAGTCTTGTGACTTGACGAATAGGAAACGCCAGTGGGTGTGAGTAATAAACAATAGGTATTGAAAAAGGTGTAGAAGGAGTTAAAGGCAAAATTTGTTCGTATTATTTGAGTAGGCTAGTTAAAGTCTCCTGAAGGTATTTTTGTGTGAAGTGCTTATGGTGTCGTAGAGCCATCACGTGTTTCTTGATAGCCTGATCGAGTATTTTGAAAAATGATACTGTAGTCTGTTGGTATAAAGAAAATTGTTGTGAAGAAAATCCACAAAGTCCTTGTTGTTCAGGAGTTCATTGATCGCTCTTTTCATGTCCAAGATTTAGATATTCCACTTATAAAAGGTAGTTTAATATTATTCTCATCTTGTCGTAATCTAAAGCTTGCTTGTTCTGGGTGATACGCCTCTCCAGACCATCTTGAGTCCAGGGACCCCACAAAGAAGAAAACCGCGTAAGATAGGAAAAAATAATGAAAAAAAAATTGTATTTAATACTAAAATAAACCACTACAAATTCTTTGCTGTCAAGGTTTTACTTGAAGTATTTGAAATAAAATAAAAGTGTATAAACTATAAGTAAAAAAATAAAAAAATAATAAAAAATATTATTGAAAAATTATGGTCCAAACGTTTAGCAGAAAGAGTCCCCTTAAATATAAAGTACTGTGATTCAAAATAAATATTAAACTATTAATAATACAACTCAAAGGTAATGTATAGTAAAATGCATTTTTAGTAAGGTTGCTTATCTAAACATCTTCAAAATCTTACGATTAGTTTCGTCAAAATTTTACTATAGATTTATTATAGTTTTGGCAGAGTTTTGGCAGTTTCGGCATTTATAATAAGTTTAAGCAGTTTCGCATTTCTCCAAAGTTTAGCCAGTTTTTTAATATAACTTTAATATAGTTTCAGCAGAATTTCGCTTTTTGGCGAAACGCCATCTTGCCTAAACCCTTAGGTTTCGGTAAGCAACCTTAATTTTTAGTAATAACTCAGTCAATATTAATGCTAAAAATGCGATTTTATTATCATTAGATTCATCTCATCAAGACAAATCTAACAAGTTTAAATTATTTAAAATCCAATTACTGAATCGCTTAAAAATAGGGATATGTATGATAAGAAATTTAAAAATATTCTTAAAATACATAATTCTGACTAGAATTAACATATAGCAAATTCTAATATGAGTTGTATAAGAGATGTTCAGGGTTTTATAATACTATTGAAGCAATACTTTTAAATATAATAATATAGTAATAGTAATAATTTGAACTTATATAATAATATAATATTTTATAACTAATAATTAGTTTAATATCTTTTCTGGTTGAAAGGAGGGAAGGAATAATTTAAACAAATATAATACTTAAACATATCAAAATTTTCAGAAGTTTTGGTAAAATCAGAAATATTTGGTACATTCAATTTCAAAAAAGAGAGGGGGTACTTTAAACATATATAAAATAATTTTCAAAAATAAAAGGAAGGAAGATGTTAAACTAAAAATTAATGTGAAATAGCTTTATTAGAAATATTTTATTAAAATAAATTAATAATAGTAATTTCATATTTTTATAATTGCTAGCTAGTAAGTAGTAATAAATAATTCAATAAAATATTAAAATTAGTATTATAAAAATGGAATTAAAAAATTGGCTACAAGTCTATAACAATTACATTAAATAAAAAATATAGATTTTATTAATAATGAATTATATGGTTTATTTTAATAATATTTAATAGTTAATTTTCTTAAAAGTAAAAAATACTACTAGAATTTTAAATAATATAATAATATCAAACTATATGAGTACTACATTTATTTTTGTAAATTGAACCATTTATTGATATTTTTTATTATATACTGAAATTGTGATAATTTAAAGAATAAAATTCTTATCATATTATAAATGTTTCTTAGATATTTTTGATATTATTTTTACCAATTCGTAGTTAATCAGTTTGACCATTTTAGCCTGACTTTGGCTTGGAGTCAGACATATTCTTAGACAATTGAATCTGTTTAAGGACATTATCACTGCCACAGTCAACAATTACTACTTATTTTGCCCAATAAAAAATAAACACTTCAATTGTTCATAATAAATAGCCAAAAGTCTTCTTTTTGAAAATCGATTCGCTCATCGTTATTTCAAATGTCTGAATCGAACAATTCTTTAAACAAAGAACTTTCTTCTTCAAATAATACTGGGGGAGATAATAAAATTAGAATATTCATTCGCTCCCCGACAACACCTTTACCTGACGGTTATTCTATATTAACTAATATTGATTCTTCGGTTCTTTATTTGAAACAAACAATCTTCGAAACTCACCCTTTAAAACCTGTGGTCAGAGATCAAAAATTGATCTATAGAGGAAGAGTATTAAGCGATAATGACCTGATTGAAAGTATTTTGAAAGACGGACTAGAAACAGACCAAACCTTTCATTTGGTCGTTAAACCCTCCTTCCAAGCTATTGCTGAAACGACCGGAATACCTATTTCCCCTCCTAATTCTCATTCGTCTTCTCAAAACATTAGATCTCAAGATTATACTCAATTATTACAACAGCAGAACGTTGCTGATAATGCCCAAAGTACTGGGCACTTTTATATACCTCAAAATTATGCTCAATACAATTCACAGAATCAACAATTACCGGCAACTAACCTGCAATTTCAATTTCCAATGGGATATTATTATGTTATGATCAAGTAGGTTCTGATTAAAGAATAAGAATTTTTTTATTATATTTCTTGATATTAATATGTATATGTTTTTTTATTAGTGGATTACCTTATCTTATGCCAGTTCAATATCCATTTCCTTATACGTATCCATATATACAAACACAACCACAGATGGGTGGACAAATTCAACAACAGCCACTTGTTGCTCCAGTGGAAGAACAACATCATGATAATGCTGCAAGAAATCAAAGAAGAGCTGCCACGTTGTGGTTAGTTGTTAAACTTGGTTTCCTTGTATATATTTTTTCGCAAAATGCTAGTGCGGAACGAATGATTTTGTTATATATTTCTGCTTTGGTTATTTTTCTGTAAGTAATTAATTTTCACCATAAAGCTGTATTTATATAGACTATAGTATATTGACGTAAATTTTCCTCTAGGTACCAAACGGGTCGTTTGCGAATAGTACGGAGACGCAGAAGAGTTTTAGTACCATTTCAAAATGAGTTCTTTGGTAGGTAATAAAAATTTTTCAATATATTATTATAGCAAATATATTAAACTCTTTCTTCGTATTTGGAAGTTCAACAAATGGCACAAGTTCCAGCTGTCCATAATCAGGCAGGAAATCAACCAAGGCCAGATGGAAATCAAAATATTTTAAATCAAAACAACAATACATCATCATCGTCATCATCGAATACTACTTCCTCCTCATCAAGTAGTAGTAATAATTCTACAGATAACAATAATACACCATCAACATCAACAGCCGAACAACAGAACAATATGAATGATAATGTAAATGGAGCAAATGAGATTATCGTACCGCAACAAGAGAATGGACGATCAATTACTTTGCAGGATATTGAACATGCATTATGGACCTTTGTGGCCTCTTTAATACCCACAAATGTTGCTCAACAGGAAGAAGTTGGGATGTAGATAAGGATAGAGATAGATTCAAAGCATTGCAATTTTGTTTAATAATCATGCAAAAAATATTCGATTGTACAATTATTAGAGATTGTACATGAACAAAGAAATTACATTCTTTATTTGTAATAAGATATAATTACATATTAGTTAATAATAAAATTATTATAGAAGCAATAATAGTTATTTATATTAAATTAAATATATTTAATTATCATTCATGACATTATAGTAATGTTTTATCTGATCTGTTCTTTGTTACTGAATGAGAAGAGACAGGAAATAATTTAATTTGTCATTAATGTAGGAATATGGAAACGAATAAAAATTTTTGATACTTGCGTTTTTCAAGATTATTTAAAGTGGATTCTGAGCAACTGGTAAGCTTTTCAATTGGTTACTAGTGTCTTCAGAGAATGATGGATTAATTCATAAAATTCTTTCTTTATATGAGAAAAAATCCGTACCATTGATAAAAGAAGCCAGTTTCTTCTCAAATATTTGATTTGTTTTCTCTTGGGCAACTTCATTTTTCAAAAGCTCAACGACAATCAAATCATGCATTTGCTATAATATTTTTAGTAATATGAGTAAGGTTAATTTGGTTTTAAATATTAAATATTAATTTTCTTACCAAATACTTCTCTTTTTCAGATCTCAATTTCTTTACGATAGAAAGCTTTTCATCCTCTAATTCCTCAAATTTGCGTCTATATTCATTAACTTTATCCTCACTGAATAAAAAGAATTTTATAAATGTCGATAAACTAAAATAATGTTACTTTATGATAAATATAATAGTTACATTTCTTTTTTTTGACGTGAAACTAGTTCATTGGTTAATCGGGACATATCTTGAATAATTTTTTCGCATTCATTTGATATATGATCTTGTTTACTTTTAACCTTATTTTCCATACGATCTATGATAAAAACAATATATTAAATAAGTACGGTAATGAATCCTATTTATTCAGTTACCATGAAAAGCTGCAAAGATTTTAACCATATCTTCTCTATCAAATAGGTAAAATTGATTTTATTTAATAAACTAGTCAATAGTTATTTGATAAGTAATTTGTAGTAAAATTACCCATCCTGGTCAAGACTGTTATTAGAATCATCCTCAAATGCTTTTTGTAAACTATTATGACCCGAATATTTTTGCGACATACTGAATTTTCATTTAAAAATAAGTCGAGAATAGATTGAACAGTATCCAAGGTGCTTTATTTAGGAGGTATAGGAGGTAAAGAACTTTTGAAAAAGTTTGTGAGCGCAACCATGTTTATGAATAATCAATCGGCTGAATATTATTGGCGGTTGAGATCGCAAGCAAATGATTAGCTATCAAAATCTAATAACGCGTAAATTACCAGAGCGCACCTCAATATTATGAAAACTTCGAAGCCGCGTTTCGTACTTTTCTTTTCTAAAATTATTATATGGTAAATAGAAAATAAGAATATATTTCTAGTGTCAAGTTTAACTCATTTAATAAATTATTTGGAAATAGATAATGGACCAATATACGAGAAAAACTTCTTTGCCACAACGTAGAGCCACTTTAGCTAATATTGCGGATTCAAACCAATATTTAGCTAGTTTAAGGCAACAACAACCAATGTCAGCCATTCGTCAAAAACGTCAGTCAAATTTTCCTCAAGCTGGACGCGTCTCAAAAGTTGTTTCCGAAGTAGTAAATCCAAAAGGTTTTGGGCGTGCTGGAAGAAGTTCTATTAGGTGATTATACTCGACTTTTAAAAAATATTTCTACTCTTAATCACATGAAATTTAATTATAAATATTTTATAAAAGGCCGAGTTCTGCTTTACAAACTATACCACAAGATAGAATAAACGACAATAATAATGTTAGACAAAAAGACTGCCGTCCGTTACGTGATAAACAGTACCAAATGGAATCAATTAATTTAATTATTGATTTTTTAAGAAATTCTAATTATCCTTACCCAATTGAACAAAGAAATTTATCAAGCCCTATTGCGAAAGATTTTCTTAATATTTTTAGATTCTTATATAATCGTTTAGAACCTTATAAAGATATCCTAAAAACTGAAGACATTGCTGGAGCTTTAAAAGCTATAAAGTATGAATATAATATTTTCTTTTTTGTCATAATAAACTTTAATTCTTCATTTAATATTATTTAAAAGGTATCCATTTATTCATGATGTCTCAAAATCTTCTTTACAAGCCGTTGGGAACCAACAGACTTGGCCAATACTTCTTGGTATGTTAAAGTGTTATATAATCATTCTAATAAAATTTTATTAGAACTAATCCTTGTTTTTTTCTAGGAATGTTAAGATGGTTGGTGGAGGTTGTCGCTGTAAGTATTGAAACGGTTAATTTCATAAAATTAGAATAAAGCTTACGTAAATGATTATTTAATTTATTTAGATGTGGGAAAGAGTCGAAACATTAGAAAATGATCAAAATGTGATGAGTTTAGAATTTTTGTTTTTTAATTATCTTGCTGATTCATATGAATTATTTCTTAATGGAGCTGACGAATATCCTGAACAAGATGAAGAATTATCAATTAATTTTGGTACGAAAAATTTATTTAAGAATAAATATATGATTTCTACATGATTAACATTAAATTATTAGAGCGTATGTGTGAGGAACTCATCAAGACTAATGATGAACTTCAAAGTGCTGTCAATGAATTAGAAAATGAATTAAATCGAATGAGTGAAACAAAAGTAAGAAACTTGTTTTTTATATACATATAGAGCATATAGAGACTATTGATAAATTTTTTTAATCAGGATCCATTAACTGAAGTGAGAAATGACAATCAAACGCTTCGTTCGGATATGGATAAATTTAATAGTTATACAAAACATTTGGAAGAAAAGAAGAAAAAGCTTAGTGAATCTATTACAAAATTAGAAGATCAACAAAGGACAATTGGTAACATTAATTAATCTATTTGTTGTTTAAAAAGTTCATTATATTAAACTAATAAGCATACGTATATATTTTAAAAAAAAATTTAGAGCTGGAATTAAAACAAAATGAAGAAGAAAAAGAAAAAATACAAAGACAAGTTGATTCTCAACCAATATCTCCTGATGATGTTGAAAGGATGCATAAAGAAAGTGAACAAATAACGAATAAGCGTAACGTTATAGCAGGGAAAATGAAAGAAATTAATAAACTACAGTGGGAAAAAAAATTAGATGTTGAAAAAGAAATTATTGAATTAGAGCATTTAATCCAAAGCCATAATTCTAATCTATTTAGAATTGGTCTTTTACCTTCGTCTTCAAGATTGGCTAATGGAGAAAATTTTGAATTATCAATTAATGTCGAAGCTGATAGAATCGAAAAAATCATTTCTTTGGATTTGAAAGATACTGTCAGGGTAAGATATAAAAATAAGGGTATTTTCTTTAATTATTTACTTAATTAATCATCAAATTGGTTTAATTTTAATAGAACAAACTTGCAGAAGTTCGAAAAGAATTTATTAATGAACTTGATAAAACTCAAGAACAAATGACTCGTGCTAATGAAGATGTACAACATTTAATTGATGACATTGGAGATAAAGAATCGGATTTACATAACTTGGAAGAAACTAAAAATTCTCTTTCAAAACAATTTGATGAATTAAAAGAATCTGAACAAAAAGAATACGATAATTTAGTTAAACGAATTGTTGCTTTTGAACAAGGAGTTAAACAATCGAAATCTAAAGGAAACTCTAATTATATTGAATGTAAACAAAAACGTCAAGAAATTCAGATTCAGTATGTATTTAATATTAATAATGTGTCATTCGAGTCTTTAATATTTTTGGTTCGTAAAGGAACTAACTAAAATCATAAAAACTTTTAGTTATGATCATATTTCTAGAGAGTATCATAATGCGAGAGATGCTGCGATCAATGAATTTAATCAGATTAAAAATGATCAAGTGCGTAGGTTACAAAATATTTCAGCTGCTATTACTAGTCTGACACAGTTATCTAGAGATTATTTGAAAGACGTAGTGAAGAAAGAAAAGCATCAAAAAGTTCATAGTTGATTTTTTTTGGACTAATAATCTGGTACGTTTCTTTAACATATTTTATATAATTCATTTTTCAGACTATGATATACGTAATAATTCAACTTAAAAATGATCAGATCCTATTACATTATAAATTATAAATTTAATTTCTTGCTATCACTGTCTTCATTAAAATAAAAAATGGTTTAATTAATATCTAACTATTAAAATAGTTGGTATAAGCCTCAACTAAAAAGTATTAATGTATACGTATTAAATAAAGTATAAAGTAGAGTCATGTGTATTATTATATATTGTATTAAATACAATTCTATAATATATATGTACATATTTTTTTTTTAATCTAATTGTTCCTGTTCTACCTCGCCGGGAGATGTAACTGTATTCTTCGTTGATTGAAGAACAGATCCTTCTGGGACAAAAAAATCAGACAATCTCATAGGTCGAATGTTCACTTTCTGTACAAATAAAAATAAAATATTTAATAATAAATTAAGAGAGAAAAGCATTTAATTTTTTTAATTTTTTGAAATGATAATATACATCAGGGTCAATATCTGTCAAATCGCCGTCTGATGTAGAATGGCTACGCATATATTCTCGTATTGGTATCATTGCTGCGTTTCGACATGCCTCTTTCAAATCACTGCCTTTAAAATCGAATAAAAATAAAAAATAAACGACTTATTTAAGAAGAAAGGTTAAGTATAGATCACATATAAATTACCTGAAAAGTTAGCAGTTTTCGCTACTAATTTGCCAATGTCGAAATTATTCTCCAAATGTTGATCTTGAAGCATCTAATTAATTGCAATAAATAAACCTTAATATATGCTAATAATAAAAAAAATGGCATGATCTTTGACTCTTACAATATCTAAAATGTTTTTTCTTTGTTCTTCATTTGGTAAACTGATCGCGAATCGTTTTGGCATACGACGAAGAATAGCATAATCTATATCATTCGGCCTATTTGTAGCACCAAGAACCTAATTATATTTACAAGCCATAATTATTAACATTCACTAAAATTTAATTCCGGGCTTATAATTAAAATTAATTAAATACAAAATAACTTACGATTATGCGTACGCTATCATCTGTAGTTAGGCCATCCCATAAACTATTTAGAAAATTTTAGAATTATTATTTAGCATATAATTAATTATGCATCATGAATATTAACATTCGAGAATTCCCACCTCATAAATTCGGCCTTCATCATTCCAGTAACCTCATGATCACTACTTCGCCTTTCTCTCAAAAATGCATCAATTTCATCAATAAAGATGATACAAGGTTCTAATTTTTTCGCAACTGAAAATACAGCTGATACAAGTTTATTGGATTCACCAAACCATTTGTCCGTTAATGTTGATACATGAAGATTTATAAATGTGGCTCCAGATTCACGTGCAAGAGCTTTTGCAAGCATTGTTTTCCCGCATCCAGGTGGACCATGAAGCAAAACACCTTTAGATACGCCCAACAATCCGGAAGGTGAAGTGAACAAGTGTGGATAAGTTAAAGGATATATAACCGATTCTCTAAGGGATTGAATAATTGGATCAAGTCCTATATTTTAAATAAATTTTAATTAAGATTGACAAAAAAAAAAAAATAATGTAATTCAAAACAATTACCTCCAATCTCTGAAATTAATTGAATTTTAAGGGAAATGATCAGTAAAAAAAAACAATATAAAGAATATTACTAAAACCAAAAATAAAAGCATAAATTACGTTTGAAATTAATGGAAATTTCTTCCGGAAAGATTACTTCGGACAAGATTACTTCTTCGTACTCATTTAGTTTCATGTTTTTTCTCTGTAACGTTTAATCAAATATTCAATTATGATATCACTAAACAGTATAACAACAGTAACACTTACTCCTAGTTTTCCTAGCACTTGTTCACTTTTTGCCTTAGCTTCTTTCTTTTTATCCTTCATGGGATCTAAACTACTAAGCACATACTTTACGGCATAGTAAAGTGCAACCTGAGATATTGCAAAAACCACGACTAATAAATATAGAGTAAGAAGGAATTAAATTAAAATGGCAACCTGTGATCTATATTAGATCATAAAAGATAGTTTACCATCGAAAGCATATTTCTTCGCGGTTGGTGGCGGCATTTCGTAAAACTAAAACTATCTTAGATCAACTATAAACTGTTCATTCAACAAATTTATACGGTAGCGCTGCCGCAGATCTCACGTGATTCTAAAATTTCGATAGATCGCTATAATTTCAAACTTAGATCCTACTCTCGATTTTTGGTAAAACATGGGTAATGTTACAAACGAAAATATTATTAATTTAAATACTGCTATTACTTTTGAAGCTGAAACATTCCGAAGGATTCAACCCGAAGAGTACTTACGTAGATACATTCAACAGCATGTTAGACCCGATGGTAGATCCTTCAATCATTTTCGCAAAACAACTGTAAATTTAAGTAAGTTTTTACCTTTATTTAGCTAAAATTCCACATTAAATAAATAAGTTGACGTGTTTCTTTTAGGTTGTATAACAACGGCTGATGGCTCTTCAATGGTACGAATAGGAAATACGACTGTAATTTGTGGTATTAAAGCTGAAGTATCAGAACCAAATGTAAATTTTCCTAAAGAAGGTTATTTAGGTAAAAATATTTTTCTCCGCAATTCTTATTCATGCACTTTAAATTTTCTATTATTTATTCCTTTAATGTATTTTATAGTTCCAAATGTCGATCTATCGCCCATTTGTTCACCTAGGTTTAAGCCTGGACCTCCGAGTGAACAAGCACAGGTCTTGAGTGAAAATTTAAACAAATTATTAAAAAAGTATTGAGCTTAAATTATTTATAAGATTTATCCTTTTGACCATTTTTGCTGATTGTAATACTTTTTTTATAGTTCGAAAGTAATTGATTTAGAAACATTATGTATTGAAGAAGGGAAAGCCGCATGGGTTTTGTTTGCAGATCTTGTTTGTGTAAACTATGATGGGAATGTATTTGACGCGTGTGTAATTGCATTAATGTCTGCTTTAATGAATGGTAAGCGCATTAAACATATTTAAAGAAAAAAATTCAAATATTAACCTCATATAGTCTTGTAGTGAGACTTCCTGAAGCAGTCTATGAAGATGGTATAGTAAAGGCTACTGAGGAAAAGACAATTATTCTTGGCCTTATACGGATAACTTATTCAGCATCGTTTGCCATGTTTGATGGGTAAGTGAATTATATTTACCTTAAAAGTCATTTTAAAAAAACTTACATAAGAATTCCACAGACAACATTTATTGGTTGATCCGAATGAAATGGAAGAATCAATCACTAAAGATGGAATTACAGTCGTAGTTGATGAAACCGGAAAATTATGTAATATATGGAAAACTGGATCTTCATGCTCATCAGAACAATTAAAAACATGTATATCAAAAGCTCGTGATAGATATGCAGATATAACTTCAATCATTGAAATAGCAAAACAAGCTATTAAGAAAATTGAATAAAATTATTTATTTTGAACTTGGGAAATGAGAAATGCAAGTTCCAAAGCTACATCTTTAATTCTTTTTGACTGATCATTTTCAGCTCCAAAATGGCCTCTTTCCTTATCAACTTTTAAAATTAACAAATTATCATTTTTATCTATTAGTTGTTTTATTCTCATTCTAGCTACCCATTTTAATGGGTGCCAGTAACTAACTCTTTGATCTTTCATGGCTGCCGTAACCAATATTGAACATGTTTGTTGTGATTTTATAGATGAAATATTATCATATGGCGCGTAACTAGCAAGATACTCATAGGTTTCTTTATTCTCAAGAGGATTTCCCCATTCGTTATACTCTATTCGAGTGAGTGGTAAATCAGAATTTAACATACTTGATAGCGGGTCCAAAAAAGGAACTCTCAAAATGATTGCGCGAAATAGATCTAAGAAACCAAATAAAAATATACCAGCTTTATTCAAAGAAGTTTAGAATATTTAAAAAAAATTCCCCTACCTGGTCGCATATTAAAAGCAGCTCCTGCGAAACAAGAAAAAAATATTAACTTAGCAATATATAATATTAGCGTAGTTAAATCTTACCTAATAATAATCCTCCGGCACTAACACCTATTGACGCAACAAGAGATGGATTTGAATATCCAGTCCTAATAAGATAATCAATTACCGAAATCAAATCGGTAATCGAATTTTTCTTGTTCATCAATCGTCCTTGGTCGTACCATGTGCTACCTAATTCTGAGCCTCCCCTAAATAAGAAAAATTTATAGACAAAGATAATAATTAAAATATTCCAAATAGTTTTTACCTAACATGTGCAAGCGCAATTATCCAACCTCTTTCTAACAATGAAAAATGTTCAAGTTGAAAATCAGGCTCAATGGAGACTCCATAGGTCCCGTATGATCGAATTAGTAATGGATTTCTACATAAAATAGAAATTGTCTTAATTTCATAACAATGAATCAACAATTAAAAACAAATAGTACTTGTTATCCAGGGTCAAAGATTTTTTATGTAATAAAGTAATTGGTATTTTGGCACCATCCAACGCGTTTGCATAAGTACGATAACAAGTGTATAAGGCGGGATCAAAATCTGATTAAATTAATAAATTACCAAATAGTTACTAAAACAGCGCGTAAGAGACATCAATACCTACTATTGATAGGATTAGATCTTACTGAACGTAGTCTCCTAGTTTCCATATTATATTCATATGTTGATGGGTGAGCGAATGGAGAGTCACAAGTAAATCTTACAATATCAGTATCATAATCCTGAATCATAAGAGGCATTTATTTATTAATAAAATAATATAATTAACATAGTAAACTTGTAAACTCACAATGTTTGTTTCTGGAGACACCACACAAAATTTTGTTGGTAATTCAATTTGATGCATATCTTGCGAAACGAAATTGTAGCAAAGAATTATAGGCAATCCTTCTCTTTTTGCAAATAATACGGCAAATTTCTGAAAAAAAATTATAGAAAGAAGTTGTTAATTTTTATTTTATTTTTTATTTTTATCTTTTTTTTTTTAAAAAAAAATATATAAATAATAAATAAAAAGAATTTACGCGGAATATATCAATATCTTCTATTTTTTCACTATCTTTAACAGTGAATATAGTTTCCCAGTTTTTTTTGTCACACTTTTCAAGACTCGCACGGACCAATTTGAAATTTCGTGCATTATCAGCATTCGTCAAAATGTACAGAAATTCCTTATTATACGTTAATAATATATATAAATAATTTATTTATTTATTTATAATATAACTTTTCTTTAATTTACACGTATATAATTCTACTTACATCATGATGATCAACGTAATATTCTAATCCTATTGAGCGTGGTTCAATAAGTTTTAGTTCGGGAAATCCTTTAGAAAAATCATGATACGCATCAAAAAGTCGTACTTCAGAAGTAGAAAAACCATTCGAGTTTAACGTAATAAAGGACTATAAACCCATTAAGAATTTAGTAAATTGAAAATGAGACAAAATAAATAAAAGATGAACATAACCTTGTCCTTTGTAACTGTAATATCAACAAATGATGATTTATCCTTTTCTTCATATATAAGAATATCATCTTGTGGTGAACTTCCAATATGGTGCGCATAAACTTTGTAAGGTCTGAGTTGTTCATCTGTTATGGTATAGTAAATAATCTTACTATTACTTCCCCATACAAAATTAAATATTTTTTTTAATTTTTCATCATATATTATTGAATTTTCATTCAAATTTTTAAAATGTAATACACCAGTTTCTTCGCCCTCTTGTTCTAATAAGTAAGCAAGCTTTCTATGATCAGGTGATATTAATAACGATCGAATATGTTTATTTGTTTCTCTCAACCATTTCGAGTCCAATAAAACCATTTCAGTTGAGGGAAATCCCTTTTTATTACGACAATATTTAAGTCCATGTTCAGTTAATATTGTATAATATTCATATTCGTCCGCATAAATTTTTATAGGTGCCATAGTTCCAGTTCCTTGAGTAATCAATTTTTTTTTCAATTCCTATACGTTAAAAGCGCGTATAATTCATCAATGTATATTAAATTTATGATGTAATATGTAAGAATTCTTACGTAAGTTAAACGTTGTTGTAACAATTTGGTGCCTTTCATAACGGATTCAGTATATCTATTATAAATATAATTAAATAATTAAATAATTTATTTGTTGAAAATTATATTTACGGCATATTTAAGAAATTGCTCACTCATTTTCAGCTTTAATATATTTTAGGACATCCTGGAAATGATGAATTCGTGTATTAGAACTTGTTATCATATTTCGCGTCTTTATTAAAAAGTAATATCATTAGTTACGTGATTTTTGGGATTCTGCATCCATTGAAATTCATCGCTGCGTTTAATTCCAAAATACATCGAATTGACTGGTATTTGTTTCGGAATTGGTGGTTTATAAACCTTTCTAAAAAGAAGCGACGAAATTGTCAAGAAAATATTTTATCGGAACTAATATCACTTAAGTGCTATTACCTTTGTACCAAATTAATGAAGTTATTAATTGTAAAGGAATGAAAGCCGCGTAGCTTAATTTCATTGTTCTACATAATTAAAGAGAATTTAATTAAAAAGTATTTATGCACTGTTTGAATTATATATCATTAATTGTGCACCTTCCTTCCATTGGTGTTAATTCCTGCATTGTTGTTAATAAAATTCCTAAACGTATTCACGTAAATGCGCATGGGTTCTATGATTTTTTTAAAAACGCGAAAAATGATTTCCGTAATCAGATGATCAACATGTTGAATATAGAAAAAATGAATATATGGAACAGATGTTTTTAAGCTAAGCCACAAATCATTTGTATCATAGTATTATGATCGATATCATCTAAGCGATCGATTGCATAACTGATAAAATGTTGAAATACTTTCCAGCCTTAATGATTTAACACAGCCACGTACAAGTCTCACACATATATATACCTGTATTAATTAAAAATTCCTGTGTAGAGAGAGACATATATATATACACACATATATATATCTTAAAATATGTGCTTAAACGCGTCGATTTATTTTTATTAATTTTATTGGTATTTCATTAGTTAAAAGTTTTGTATAATTTCCTGAAAAAGAAATTTTTAAATCTAACACTAGGTCTTTTATGGCATAGAATAATCGTTTTTTCTTAGCTGAATATACTATCTGTTGATTTCGCCATGAAAAAAAGTCGGTTTAATTCTATATTTACTAAACGTCCGACAAAATGTTGTTGTTGTATCCCATTCCGGCCGGGTACCATTATTCTATGCATTTTATTATTTGTACGCATATTCATATAAGAAAGTGCTCTGGTTTTTCTGAATAGCATATATTGATGTCGATAATTTGTACGTGTTTTACAATAGATAAATGGAATTTGGAACGCTTCAATATTTCTTTCTGAAATTGCTGGTAAATATAATCATTTAATTAGTTCCCAAATACATAAGCATTAATTTTCATCATCTTACACAACTTAGCTTATTCGCAGCATACTGCAAGGGGAGTTCCGGTTTTGCTAGGACTGTTTTATTTTCTTGTTGTCCCAATATCAATATTTGGAATATACGTAACAAGTAAAGTAAATAAGTTGATTTATTAATTCTCTACAGCACCTTTCTTATTCATTCTAAGTTTTCTTCCCTCCTCTCTTATTTAATAGAAAAATGAAAAATTAATAGAATGGTTTTCAACATTATTTTGGATATCATTATCGTTATTATTAGTTTTACATTTAATTGATTTAATTTTATTTTTTACATGGAAAAATGATGTAATTAGTGCATGTCAAAATGATTTAAGTTATTTTGTTCCTTCTAATTCTTCTACTGTTCAAGTTGCTTTTGATCCTAACGCTTTTACTAAAAAACAAGTTGACGATGCTTGTGTACAAGCTGTTAATTTATCTTTATCTTGGAACCTTTTTGATTTTATCGTTTTTAAAGCGATTGTATATGTAAGTATTTTACTCTCGTTATTTTATGTTCATAATGCAAACGTCGGTTAATACATACTATTTTTTTTTTTTTAAAAAAAAAAAATTAGTTTTATTTTGGTGCAGTAGTTAGTGCTTACAGCAAAAACCCTACACAAATACCAACTGATGTCAAAATAAATACAAATCCTGACAAAGAAAAAAATGATAAAATGGCTTCAGGAAAACAAGAACTTTCTTTAGATGAAGTAAAAGGTGATTCAATTAAACCAAATGATAGTATAAAGTTAGTAGGCACTTCTCGTACTGACTTTTCTATATAAATTACAAAATTAATTTAATATTTGGAAATATAAAATGGTTTATATAAAATTTATAATTAAACTGGTTCAACAGGAGTAAATTTAAAGGAGTAACAGAATCTTAGGGCTCGTTTATTTGTTTGTTTATTCAAATGTCATTAGAAATGCAGCAATTAATCTAGCCGAAAACTTTATAATACAATATAAGAATAAAAAAATACATTTGGAAAAAAATACCTATGAAATCATATCTAGATAATGCAATAAAGATATAAGAAGATTTCCCGGATCCATTCTGAATTTCCAAAAATTAATAGCTTTCCAACCAATGAAAAAGTTAAGTCATCCGTACAGAATTATTTATCATCTTTCCTCAGTAATATTGCCTTCAAGATCGTATATGTGAATATTAAGTTTAGAACAATGATCTTTTTTTACACTATCGAAAAATCGTTTCTTTACTAACTTTTCACAACCCATTATATTGACATCCATTAATTGGTGCCACTTAATATCTTGAATATTATCTCCTGTAACAGATGGAAAGTATGATAAATGAATATAATTAAGATGTGGGGTGGTTCTTGCTACAACATCCAAGAAATGTCCATCATTCTCGAAATCCCTTCCTTCTAATGCCAACACTTTCAAATTTGGTGTATTTTCCACAAGATTACAGAATAACTTCTGATCTTCCTCTCTCAAAGGCATCCACAATTCTTCTAATTGTTCTCCACAATTATCTGCCAAATATTGAAGTGACTTTGTATAAATTTCTTCCCAGTTGTAGTCTGTAATATGTGGTGGTTCAATTTGAAGGTTCTTGATATTTTTCCATGATGTTAATAATGTATAGAAATCTTCCGGTGTCTCTTTCCAATCACAACAATGAACTAATGCGCGATCTATTTTTTTACAATCGCGAAGTGCTCCAATAGTTTCTTGATTCGCGACATGCATCATTAAATCAACTTCTCGAACAGTCCCAGTAACCATTGAAATAATATTGCTAACAGACGGTAAATTGAGTGTATCATCTTTATTGGGCCCACGTAACGCGGATGTATGAATTTTAACTCTCCGAACGGATCGACACGATTCTGATATATCTGAAAAAAAAGTATTCATTACAGGTGGAAGATCCTCGGAAATATGATCCGTGGTAACGGAGTTGAATCTGACTGCAAAAGTATGCATGTTAGGTACTGTTTTAGCAAATTTTACAATACCGTTCAATTTCTCACTTAGCGTAGACTCTGTTTCATTTTGTTTAGGATCATAATCATATTCTATATAGATCTGTCTGGTATATTTACCATAACCTTCTTGGATTATCCATTGAAATAGCTTTTCCCAGTCTCGTTCTGCGTCAAGTTGAAACAATACTTTTTGCCATATTCTCGGTACAGCTATTTGACGCCAGACTGAACACACCCTAGAAACTCTAAAAAGATCTGACTGTTCTTGTGAGAAATGATTGTCAATCGCATTGGGTATTTCCGACTCATATACTTGTTCGTCTATAATTCCTCCCCATAAATATTCAAATATTTCAGTAATGAGTTCAGGAGGTAACTTATGGTTTGGTCGTAAAGTTTGTTGTTTTGGCTTTTTTTTACGACTACTTGTTCGTGGCATTTTGAAATAAATAATAAGAGGGAAACTTTAAATACAATAAAATAATAAACGGACACCAAAATGTTGTTTACTGTAATAGTTAATCATGTGTAACCTCTTCGATCATCATAAATTGAAAACTTTTGACGTCATTAAATTTCATCTCTGATCATTATCATAGTTCGCAACAATGTCTGTACAAGATGTCGAAATGGACACCGTTGACGAAGTTGTTGATGCGCAAAAAAAAGCGGCAGAAGCCGATGCTTTGGTTTTGGCTGGTACACATTTTCATTCACATTTTTTACGAAAACATTTTGAAATTTGATTAGAACTAATACCGATTCACTTGAATTATAATAGATTTGAAACAAAACTTTGTCCTTCTTGAGCGTGCAGTAGCTACTTTTGAATCACGATTTATCACAAGAGTTTTAAGAACTGCCGCATCCATTCGAAAGCGGTTGAATGCAGAAATTTTGTCTCAAGCGATTCGAGATGTTTATCCAAGAGGTCAGACAATTCTAATAAACCAATTTGTATAGATCACGACGAATTTAGCTCTTAAATGAGCGTAACATTTCTCACGAAAGGTCATCATCAATATGATTCATGAGAATGTCACGAAATTATTCGTTTAATATAATTGTTTGCCTAACTGAAACCATTAACCTTTGAACTTTGAAATAGATGCTGTTGATAAAAGAAGACTTCTGAAATTCTTGGGAAAGGTAAACATGTTAATTATTCTTTCTTTCCTTCTTTCCTTTTAATTTGTTAAAGCTTTATTATCATGAAGGACTCAGGAGTTATGGATGTTGATTCGGATGACACGACAAAAGATAATCCACAAGTTTTACCCGAAATTGACCTTTATCTTCATCTATTGGTGATGATATATTTGTTGGATAAACAGGACTATTATCAGGTTAGTAAAGTTAGTATACAAAATTAATTTGGATTTCTAATTTATAATTACTTCCTATAGGGTATTTTACTTTCCAATGAAACAATCCATAAAATTCAAAATTTGAATCGTCGTACATTGGATCAATTGTCGGCGCGTATATACTTTTATTATGCACGTTTTTATGAACTCACTGAAAAATTGGCAGAAATTAGACCGTATGTTTAAAGAATGCAGTTTTTTCTTAATGTTCGTTCTGTTAAATTGATTTAATTACTATTATTTAGTGTATTGTTAGCCGCCCAGCGAACAGCGACTTTGCGTCATGACAATGATTCTCAGGTAATTAATCTATTATGTATGAACTTAAAAAAAAATCGGTTTACCTGATTTACAGAAAATTTGACATATACATTTCAGGCTACATTGCTCAACCTGTTGCTAAGAAATTACTTTTACTATAATCTTTATGACCAAGCTGATAAACTTGTCAGTAAAACGACTTTTCCCGACACTGCAGGAAATAATCAACAAGCTAGATACATGTATTATTTAGGTAAATAATATGTAGTAACTTTAGCGAAATGACTTTTTTATAAATACTAATATCATTTATTTCCAGGTCGTATTAAGGCAATACAACTTGATTATACGGCTTCACATATGCATTTGAACCAGGCTATTCGCAAAGCACCCCAGAATACAACTACAGCTGGTTTTCAACAAGCGGTAATTATTACTTCTCTGTTTGCTTTTTCCGTGAGAAATATTAAAATAATTTTGCATATTTATAGGTCTATAAACTGTCCATTATTGTTCAGCTTCTCATGGGAGACATTCCCGAAAGATCCATATTTAGGCAACCGGTTTTAAAAAAGCCATTGGTTCCCTATTTGCATATCGTCCAAGGTAAATTTTATGTGATTTAAGAAAATTTAATTTAGCTGTAATTTTGATCATATGTACTCTTTCATATGGTAGCCGTGCGTATTGGTGACTTGTCAACATTTCAAGAAACATTGGCCAAATATGGGGATGTTTTCCGCAAGGACAAAACTTTTACCTTGATACTAAGGTAACATATATACTCGTCTTGGTGTAAAATAGAGTTTTTTATTGTTAAAAATTAAATTTTATAAATTTTATTTTTTTTATTTAGACTTCGACATAACGTGATTAAAACAGGTATTAGAATGATAAGTCTGTCCTACTCTCGTATATCTTTACGTGATATTTGTTTAAAATTACACCTTGATAGTGAAAAAGATGCCGAATACATTGTTGCCAAAGTATGTTTCAGATATTTTATAATAAATAAAATACATGATATATTAACATATTATTACTTTTTTCAGGCTATTCGAGACGGTGTTATTGACGCTATCATAGATCATGAAAAAGGATTTATGAAATCAAAGGTAAATAATATTTCGCTATTTCTATATCAATAATTTTATAAGTATAATTATTTGATTTAAAAAAAAAATTTCTTTAAAAATATAATTTAGGAAAATGTTGACATTTATTCGACGAATGAACCTCAGAGTGCTTTTAATGCTCGTATTACATTTTGTTTAAATCTTCATAATGATTCGGTAAAAGCAATGAGATTTCCACTTAACGCACATCGTAAGGAGTTGGCTTCCGCTGAAGCACTTCGTGAAAGAGAAAGAGAACTTGCAAAAGAAATTGCAGAAAATGATATGGATGATGACGACGAAGTTGCGGATTTTTGAGAATCCGATGGTTTTTTTTAATTATGTATAAATTTTGTCTTGATAAATTATGATGCATTTGCAAGATGCATAAACTTGCGACATAAAATAAACAAAATGTTAAAATATATTAATTATAACTATAAATATAATTAAAAATAAAGTTCTCCCAAATTTAGATGACCAATCTACTCGAATATGCGTAACTATGATTATATCTTAGCTAAGTTTATTAAAGAAAAAGTTTGCACTCAATTTTTTATTACAAAAAGAGCCGTATTAGAATTACTCTTCATCTACGAAAATTTTAATTTGTTTTGCATCAGCATCCATCATTTCTAAGAGTAATTCTGACCGGTCTTTAAGATCTCCCATATCTTTTTGTTTCAACCATTTTTTCAATTCTTTAAGTCTTTTACTAATTAAGTCATCAGCAACCACATCCATCTCTTCATCATCTAATCCATGAACGATAACCACCTTTCCCTGTTTTTCTTGTCTTAATGTCTTTGCATTTACATAACTTTGTAATATTGAACTTAAAAAAAATATATGACGCCATATTGCAACTGGTTCCGTTAAATTTCTGGTGTACGGTATACTGTATAAAAATATTTTTGTTATTTTCACTAAACTTAACGACGATAAAATTAGTTTTTTTTCTTTTTTTATATTACTAAGGTCGCTATCAAGAAGTGCTTTTTCAATAAGCTGATATTTAAAAGTATTAGACAATAAAGTCTAATAATTAAGTTCAAAGAATTAGTTTATTTAGAATAATTACATTAAAGTTCAATTAGTTATACATACTTGTAGAAATGATATCATTCGAGACGGTTCGAGTAGATTTATTTGTAGATACATTTCATTTTTCAATGAATCACGACAAATATGACCTGCATATGAAAGAATAATAATCTATAATAGAAACAAATTATTATAAATACATTAATACTTAAATTTTCCGTTCTTAAATTAAATTTCAATATAAAAAATTTGGTACTTTTTTTTACCAATAACATAAGTAATTTTTTACCTGATCTAATAATCTTTGTGACAGACGAATTGCTTCCATCGGTATTTCTTTGGAAAATACCGATGTTATTAGAGAATCAATAACAATTCTAAGGTTCGTACGTGATCTTGTAACTAGTCGTAATAGTATGGAAGAAAAAAACTTTCCTAATCAAACAAAGAATGAATATTCATTAGATAATCTACCTTCAAATGTCCAATAATACGATGTTAACGTAATCTCTCTTACTTTGTTTAATTCGCATATCAATCTCAAATACGTTTACGATTTGTTCAAGGAATAGTAAAATTCGGGTAGACTTTGAATTATTTTTTTTAAAAAAACTTATTAAATAAAATTTTAATTAAAATACGTATATATATATATATATATTATGCCTTACCTGGTCGTTGTCATCAATATTTTGCGTTAAAGAATTAAATTTATCTTTGATAAACGCCCAAAAGCTATCATAACCTACTGGCCATACTTCTTCAGGATCTGAATGATTTTCGAAATTCCAAATATTTTCAAATGCAATTGATCCGGTTGTATATAACACATGTTGTAAAATTTTATAAGATTTAAAATTAATGTCTTTATCAACTTTTGGGTTAACAATGATCTCCATCATTTTTCTTATATGAAGTCTTCATAGAAAGAAATGTAATGTTATTATTGCATTCAAAAGACTTTGAAATATTGAAAATTTGCTTACTTTGGAGGATAAAATTGTTCATTTTGAAAAGAATCCAAAAGATCAAGCGCTGCGGTATCTTTTTGATAAACAAATCGTTTTTTCTAATCAGAATTTCTCTTTTAGTATTAATAAATTATAAAATAATATTTACAGTGTTCTTCGTCGAGACAATTTTCGATCAATGATTGATAAGTATTTGGCATTATCTTTGAATTTGTGGAAAACGTTTTTATTGATTTATTCAATTTTTCATATGACTCTACTATTTCAGGGTATACTTTCAACATTTCCTCTGCTTCTTTACGAACGCCTTCTGTTTCTTCAGTTTCACAGAGTAAGAAGTACAAATTACCCTCCTAAAAATATAAATGCAAGAATATAAGTATGAAAATATTTTTGATTTTATCTCTTTAAACCTCAATACCTCTTCTTTTCTATCGGAAATGTATGCCATTTTAAAGTAAAATTTTCTTCTGGTGAGAGACAAGAACGCGTTCAAAAGGTTTTTATACACCGGTGACCAGCTTCTGTGTTACCAGCTTTGTAAAAGATGCTGCGGTAGGTTGGTAGCTGGCCCGCGCTAGCATTTTTTCCGCGTTTAGACCAGTGTTAGACCATAACAAAATGTTATTCAAAAAAGAAATATTCAAAAACGTATTTTTACCTTTGAAGAATTTTCAATTCCGTCCGTACGTTTTTTCTTCATATCGCTATTGTCCAAAACTTAAAAGTCCATTTCTTAAAAATAAAAAACAAAAATTTTATTCTACATTACATAATGATACTATTTATGCGTTATCAACTGCGCAAGGAAAAGCAGGAATTGCAATTATACGCGTTTCTGGACCTAATGCTTCACAGGTTGTACAGTTTTTAGCTTGCTACGATAATTCATAATTTAACATTCCAGAATTAAATTTAAGGCCGCTATAAAAATGACTTCTAAACAACTTATTCCTCGTAAAGTCACAAGAAAAAAGATTTCTCATCCCAAAACCGGTGAAATTATTGATCACGGTTTAATTTTATGGTTTCCAGGTGAATTTTTATTAAATCTTACGCGTTCGAATTATATATAGAATTATAATTTATTTTATATCTAGGGCCGAATAGTTATACCGGAGAGGACACGGTTGAATTTCATATACATGGTGGCACATCTGTTGTGAGAGGTATATTAGATGCATTAGGTTGTATAGAAAATTTCAGACATGCAGAAGCTGGCGAATTCACGCGTAGGTGCGAAAATAGTTGATTTATCGTTTTTCTCAATCTCATTTGATTGATACAAATGAATACCTAAAAAAAAGAGCCTTTTATAATGATAAATATGACTTGACGGAAATTGAGGGTCTTGCTGATTTATTAAACGCAGAAACTGAGGCTCAGAGAAGACAGGCACTGCGACAAGCTCAGGTATGAAACATACTGTATGTACGCAATAATAATCTTGCGTCTAGCGGTCAATTTCCTGTTATATTAATTCTAAAGGGCGGGTTGAAAATTTTATATGAAAATTGGAGAAAACAATTGATCGAAAATACGGCATTCCTGGAAGCTATTATAGATTTTGGTGAAGACGAAAATATCGAAGATGGAGTTTTGGAACGAGGTAAAATTGTAAATTAAAATTGAAAAAAAAAATTTCTCATGATTGTTAATATTTGTAGTGACGGAAAATATAAGAATTTTGAAAAGTAAGATTTCTGAGCATTTAAATGATAATCGTCGTGGGGAAATTTTGCGAGATGGTATACACGTGACAATTTTGGGTCCTCCGAATGCTGGCAAAAGCAGTTTCTTGAACTACTTAGCCCAAAGAAGAGCAGCTATTGTATCACCAATTCCCGGAACTACGCGTGATATTATTGAAATTTCTTTAAATTTTGGAGGTTATCCAATTATAATTAGTGATACTGCGGGTCTAAGACCCTCAAATGATGTTATTGAAATTGAAGGAATTTCAAGGGCAAAGGATCGGTAAATGAAAATAAAGATATTATTACTATTATTGAAACAAGGAAGATAAAAGGCAAATTAACAATCTTTATTGCATATTAATTTATTGTAGAATAAAGACGGCCGATATCAAAATACTTATTCTTTCCAGCTTAGAAATAATGAATTCTATAAAATGCGACAATAATTATTTCTATGATATAAGTTCAATAATTAGAGATACTGTAGATGTTGATACATATCTTGTTCTAAATAAATGCGACCTGATAGAACACAAGCCAGATCTATCAAAATTAAAAGAAATATCTCTAAAGTATATATCTACAAATTATATTTGGTGCCTGTCATGTCTCACAGGGGAAGGATTCGATGAGTTCCAAAAGTCATTTATAAATTCTCTTAAAAAGAAGTAAGGATAAAATTTCTAATTTGTGCCAAGCAAATTTCATGTTGTACAATTCTAACTAAATTAAATAAATAGATATGATTCATCCACTTCTCAAGTCGCTTTAATCACTCAAGCTCGACACCGCGAACACTTGAGAGATTGTCTAAAGGCGCTGGAAAACTTTCTTGGTATTTTCATCAATTATATGCTTCATCTATTAAATTCTTAATACTGATGTTATTTATTTTATATGTATAGTACTCAATGATATAGTATTAGCCGCTGAAGAATTAAGATTCGCAACTCATGCACTGGGAAAAATTACTGGTCGAGTTGACGTTGAGGAGATATTAGGAGTTATATTTCAACAATTTTGTATCGGGAAATAATAAAATTGAGATCATTTAAAGGATGATATTATTCTAAAATTTCTGATTCTCTTTCCCTTTCAGCGGCTTCTCTCTCTGTTGCTAATTTTTCTATTTTTTCGATTTCCTCTTTTGTACAAAGTATTTCTACTTGTCTTGTCGCTAAAGCAGTGTTGTGGTTAACTTTTTCTAATTCCCATAATGATTTATCGAGTTCTCTCTGTGATTTTCGAACACTTTCATTTAATTTTAATTCCGCCTCTCTCAATCTTTGTCCTTCCGCTCTGATTTGCGCCAACTTTATCAATTTAATCGAATTAATAAAGTATATAAAAAATTATTAATTATAGAATGAATCAAAATACCTTTTCCTCAAGTACTGGTGCGTAAGCAGGAATTTGCACAAGTTTTGGAGGATGTGAAAAAATATTTGGTGGAGGACGGTGAGATGTGGGAGGAAATGGTGGTCCAGAATATGGACGTTGATATGGTTGATGTTGCATAGAATTTCCTCTTGTATAATTATTATAGCTAGGAGGTCCATAATCTCGATTGGGTGGTGGCCTAGGATATGGGTTATATGAATGTCCACCACGATAAGAAGGTCTTCTGTCATAAGGTTGAAGGGGAGGTATTGGTGGTCTCCCATATGGTTTTGGATCTCTCGCATTTCCACCATATGGAACCTGTCCCCTAAACATGGGTTGTGATTCTTCTTCTCGTTCATCGTATCTACCCGGAAGCATTTGTGGTTCTCTCATCGGATAATCTGAATGACCACGAGAAGACATGTAGTGAGAACTTGAACCATAATCCCTTTCCGAAGGATAAGAATTAATGCGGTGAGGTGTTTGATCTCTTGGACGGTTATAGTTTGGTGGACTATTTCTACGTTGATCATTAGTTCTATCCATTATCCTTAAATTAAAAATGAATGCGTTTTGAATTCAAACAAAAAAAAATAAAATAAAATAAAAATAAAATAAAAAGGAGAATTGAATTTTTTATTATTATTTTTTTTTTTTAAAAAAAAAAAAAAAAATGAAAACTGATCGACATTCACTTGTGGCCAATAGAGTAGAGAGTAAAAGCATAATCCCGTGACCTCAATTGCAGATCTTGATAGTAGTGTACGTCATCATCGAAATTGTCGTACTGTAGTACGTACTGTACATGGACCAAAATAACTTATTTACATTATTACGAACATAAATATGGAAGATAAACTTTTCACGAAACTCTCTCAAAATTTACTCGAAATTTTAAATGATGATGAATATTATGATATTACTATTGAAGTTGGTAATGGGCCTTATATAAAATTATTTCGTGCTCATATGGTTATCTTATATTATCGTTCTCCTTATTTGCGAAGAATTTTGTCAACAAATAAAAAGAAAAATGATGGAACTTTGGCACATATTAAGTTACCAAATATTTTACCCGAAACTTTTCAGATAATCTTAAGGTATGGAAGAAAGAATTCAATTATAATCAATTAATATGATTTCTAAGTTTATAAATACTTTTATTTAGGTATATTTATAGTGGAGAAATTTCTTTGAAAGAATATGATACTTCAGATATCATTAAAATTTTAGTTGCTGCTAGTGAACTTAGTCTTCAAGAATTAGTCCTTTCTTTGCAATTATTTTTGATTGAAAATGAATCAAACTGGATGGAACTAAATTTTAACCTGATATATCAAACAGGTTTTGAAAATAGTTCTTTTTTGGAACTTCAAAAATATTGTACTGATTTAATATCCAAAGAACCAGATAAGATATTCAAATCACCAAATTTCTCTTCAATTCCGGAAAAACTTTTGGTCTCACTTATTCAAAGTGATAATCTTCGAATAGATGAAATTCACATATGGGAATATGTACTTAAATGGGGTCTTGCTCAAAATCCGGTACTTCCTTCTGAACTTACAAGCTTTTCAAAAGAGGATTTCAATGCTCTGAAGAATAGCTTGCACCAATGTGTTCCGTTTATCAGATTCTATAATTTAACTTCTGAAGAATTTTCAGACAAAGTATTACCTTATAAAAAAATTTTGCCAAAGGAATTATATAAAGATTTATTGAAATATTTCTTAAGTCCTAATAATCAATCAATTAAGGAATCGAAAAGAAGATTACAAAAAGAATCTCTTAAGATGAATATCGTAGAAGATTCCCTTGATAACATTAATTATGGTGGCGAAGAATCAAAATTTGATATTAAATCTCACCGGGCAACTGAGTTTGAAAAGAAAGAATCAACTAGGAAAGAGAAAGTCGAGAATAGCGCACCACATATAAATATTAATGCATTTAGTCAAACGCAATCGCAAGCATCTCAAATATCCACTGCTTTTGCACAACCCACATTTGGACAAAGCGGTTTTGGTTTTGGACAACCAATATTTGGTCAATCAGGGTTTGGATCATCTTCTTTTAGTAATATTACACTCAAAATTCCAAGTGGAGGTGGTTTTGCTCGTTTTGCAAGGTACTTTGAAAAGTTTATTTTAAATAATTAATTTTCATTATTTAATTTCGCAAGATCTACTTAAATTGTATTGTTTATTTATTTTCAATTTTACGTTACGGCAGAAGCAGCAGCGGTTTTGGCAGTGCATCAATTACTTCAAAATCGGTGTATGATATTATATATATATTTTTTATTTATTTTTTTGTCTTTAACTCTGTTTATTAATATAATGTCTTTTTTTATTGAAGCGATAAACCACCCAACACATCGTTAGATCCAACTTGGTTTCAAATTCGTAAATGAATATCTTGGAGCTTTTTATAATTATATCTGTTATATTAAAAGGAATTGTAGTGATATTAACAAGTAATTAATATATTAATAAAAAAAAAGAGAGAATTACCAAAAAAAAAAATCAAAATAATATTTCCATTAACCTTTCCCTTTCCAAATGTGACAGAAGTTATGCACGTTACAGAATTTATTATGTATTCACCGGGTAAATCTTGGTTTTAAAGAAATACGAAATTTGGCGGAATTCGTACAGTACATTAAATATTTCGTTTATTCACGAATATAGTTTGAAGTTGTGAAGACATAATGACGAATGTTTTGCTCAACGAGTTAGCTAATTCAGATGAACCCTTTTACCTATTCAATACAGCGGAGCGCAGTCCACTCGCATCCAGAAATAACAATGGGGACGAAAACTTATTTTGTTTATTGAATTTGCATATTATTGAAACCTTCATCAGTTAAAGTTGATCATCGGTTTTGTAATTAAAAATATGGCAATAATTTAATAATTTGTTACTAATATTACTTATATGCTTATTTTTTTTTTTATTATCATAAATCGCTATATAAATCTCTAAGAATAAGGATCTTATTGAAGACATCGATTAAGTATCTTGATCCAAAAAAGCGCTTTTTGCATTCAGTCATTTATGAATAGATTGATTTGATGATAATGACGTAAAAAGTACATCAGATCTGTTGATAAGATCGACGAATCCATCTTTCTGTGAATTAAAGAATAAAATTTTACTCTTCTATTCCGTAGAAAAAAGATCTCTTTATAGTTCAAATAATTATCTTAGATTCAATTTTTTATTTAAGGAAATGTCTTGGTTTCAAAAGACGGTTAATTTAAGATCAAAATCTCGAGGATGTCATTTAATTACTAGAGAAATTGAAAAACAAGTCCCTGAAATTGAAGAATATGAAATAGGGATGGCAAATATTTTTCGTAAGTCTATTGTTAGTATTTATTTAATTTTGGTCAAAATTTTATAATAATTTATTTTTTTTTTCCTCACAATAAAAGTTCAGCATACTTCTGCTTCACTATGTCTCAATGAAAATGCTGATCCTGATGTAAGAGTAGATATGGAAATGGCATTGAATAAAATCTGTCTCTTATACACATCTAGATGTGTATAAGAGACAAGCATACTTCTGCTTCACTATGTCTCAATGAAAATGCTGATCCTGATGTAAGAGTAGATATGGAAATGGCATTGAATAAAATAGTTCCAGAGAATTTACCTTATGTTCATACCGATGAAGGTCCTGATGATATGGTAAATTTTGTACCACTCTCGTTACATGTTTTCTTTTGAAGTTTTTTTTGTTCGTTCATATGTGATGTAAATTATAGCCTGGTCATGTTAAATGTGCTCTTGTTGGCGCTTCTTTAAACATACCAATTACAAAAGGTAAATTGAATTTAGGAACATGGCAAGGGTAAGTCAAATACATTGATGTTTTTTTCTTGATAAATTCTTTGAACTCCTTAACAATTCTTTTTTTTTTAAGCGTTTGGTTATGCGAACACAGAACACATTCTTCTGGAAGGAGAGTAGTTGTTACCTTACAAGGTGAAAAAAGAGCTTAAACTTTCATTATAGAAAATCCTTATTATAGAATATCAAAAATTTAAAATTTTTTTTATGTAATTGTGAAGTTTGATAGTCTCCTTGAGGGATGAATGGTAGAATAAATAATATATGATTTAAAATTGGTTAGTTTGCTAATGGAAAATTAATTTTGTTCGTGATACCCATTTAACCTTGACCAAATAAAATGATAATTCTAAATACTTAGCATTCGATTATTACATTTGCACTTTGAGTTTTGTCTAGTAAGGATTTGAAAAAACTTGATCTCTTAAAAATGAAGTGATCGTTTTTATTTATTCATCCAGTATACAAAAGAAGAATTTTTACATGTTATTTTATTTTTTTGAAGAAACAAGAAATGTTTCGGAAATTGATTATTCATTTTACATGTATCTTATTCTTATACAATAGAATGCTAAACTATTTCAAATGCTATATATATTTACATGTTGAATGCTATTTTGCTATGTGAATATAGATTGTTTAAATTTTTATTAAAAGTTGTTTGTATATTTTCTATTCTTATTTAAAGGACAATCACATTTTGAATCAAACACTTGCTTTTTTAAATAAAGTATTATAAATGCCAATACTCTTAAATAAATGCATCACATAAAACTTTTTAACTTTATAAATAACTTTCAGATCAATTTTTAATAATATTAGTACTTTAATTTTCTTTAATTATTAAACTATTATAAATATTCTCTAATAAGATAAATTAAAATTCTACTTATTTCTAAATTTAATAAATAAATGATACTTTTTTTTATAATTAGTAATACATTTATACTTTTCGTCAAAATGACAAAATACTAATTAAATTTATTTTGACAGACGTAATGTATTTTGACAGACGTAATTAATTCATAGTAATTTTATAATAAATAGTGAATTGGTCCGTTCGCCGAAATACGACGTAATTAATTAGCAGAGAAGTATAAATACATTCTCTTTATTTAATATCAAAAAATTGATAATATACAAAAAATGAAAATAGCCAAAACACAATAAAAAAAAAGTATTTACATCATAACTAACTATTTTAGTTTAAAAGATTTAATTCGTAATCCACCAGTAAACCATAAAACTTGGCTATTAAATTCCGGTGAAAGTTATATATATTTACTAATAGCACGAAATCTACAGTTCCACCAATGCAAGGTACAAATTACTAAAATATTATATGAAAACTAATATTATAGGCATAAAAATATGCCATTTGGCTATCTTAATAATAAAAGACTGGTAAAAATTTTAAGCACCAAAAGACACTTTCATAAGAGCTGAAAATTTGAATTTGAAAAAAAGAAAAATTTAGTATTTTAAAATTTTAAAGATAACTCATCATCTAGTGGTTGTAGGAAAATAAAATTTAGTTCATCGAATTTGTCTCATCGAAACACATCTAATGGTAATAATTTTATGTCTCTATAACTAATGGAAGGCAAGTTATTCCATATTTTTTCTCCAGAATCGCAGATTCTAAATTATTGATAAAAATATATATGAACTTATCACCACCTTTTAATAGTCAAATTTTATGCACAGGTCAAATGATGAAGAATCAGTAAATTGAGAGCCAGTTAAGAATCGGGACCAATCAGGTTTTTGATTCTTAACTGGCTCTTATTTTTTTTATCATTGAATAATCAGTATGCCGATACTTATATATATTTTATCCTATTAAATATTGATAATTCTTAAATTACAATTAGTAAATAATTGACAACAAATTAGTATTCCGATTATTGGCAAATAAAATTCTGACCCGTTATTAATCTACTAAAAAGCATCGGTAAATCATCAAATAATAATTGGTTATATGCGTAATATTTATTATTTTAATAAAATCAAATTTTACATATATTCTTAAAAATTTAAAGCTCTGATTTCTTTTTATGATACTTTAATAAAATAATCAAATATGCTACTACAAACAATTAACACTAGCTAGTAAATCTAAAATTATTAAATTTTTCTAAATTGCTATTAGTGAACTAACGGGAATATACTTCCTAATATATTTGTAATATCACACTACAATTCAAAGAAAAATTTCCCTTCTCACATTTTTTCGAAGCATGCAAGTAAACCTATATGGTTGCAAGTATTAATTTCATCAACCGAATTTCACCTTTTTTGCAGCCATCAAAGCCAAATAAACGATTAAACTTGTCTATAAAATAAATAATAATTACAATAAACAATTTATTTTAGAAAAATATTAATAATAGAATATAACAAAATAAAATTACTTTCTAGTTTTTGTGTCATTCTTCGTGCTAAATGCTCTAACAGTAACTACTTTAAAAAAAAATCTACAAATATCAAATTATAATCATCTAACTCCCATTTTGTTTGATTTCCAATTGCCTGACTTTTTAACATAATCTTAACATAATTTTTAACAAATCTAAACAAAGAAATATCTTCTTAATAAAAAAATTTTTTTAAAACAATATCCGAAGTATAACAACCAATCACCAATTTAAATCAAATTTACTTCATTCCACGATCAATAGCTCTACTTAAATTACCAGTTTGATGAGATTAAATTGATGAAATAATAAAATACAAAAAATTGATATGATAACAATGAAATAAATCTAAATAACAATTAATTACAATAAAGAAGTTTTAGCAATAAGAATTTTTTCGGCAATGAGTCTTTGATTGTCTGAAAAAAAATTTCTTTTATCTCTATTTAATTACGATCTATTTAATTTAAGTAATTACAACTAATCTAAATTGTCTTGAGAAACCCTCAAATTCTTGAATAAATGTTATTCTATTTCAATAATATATACGTGACTACGTGAGCATATCTGAAAGAGATAAGCAAGCCATATTAACATAAGCAGAAATTATACTCAAGTTATTAATAGCTCAAACAAGAACATATTAACATCTCTGAATTGACATACAATTCTACCAAACTCTATATCATCACTTATTAGTAATCTACGTAAAAAGTTCTTTTTAGCAAAACTATTTTCTTAAATCCATTCAGTTTTGCCTTATCCTGATAATTTAGAAGAAACATGAGTAATATTCTGTCATAATTTTCTATAAATTTCTCTTATTGTATCAGTATTTAACTGGTTTGTTGCATGAACATCTAATGAAAATTAATCTAAAATATGATGATGCATTCCAGTTTCCTTCATTAAAGAATACTTAGCGAAATAATTAAAAAATATTTCAAAAAAATAAAAATTCATAAAAAAAAATTTAAATCAGATTTGGTAAGTCTGAAATTAATTGTAATTAATATGCATATCGTATCAGCAATTGGTGGTGTTAAAAAAAAAATTTTCAATTATCCAGATTCAAAGTACCAAACCTTACGCCATAACACATAATTTTGCTGAAAAATATAGAATTTTATAAAATTTAATATATCTTCCTATTAATTGGTATTACCGATATATATTTTTTTTTGCCTACTGTAAAAGAACCTTCAATAAATCGACCTAATATACTGTGCACCGGAATAATACAATCTCTACTATGTTCGAAAAATTCTTTTTTCCATAGTTCAATATTGCAAGATTCAATTTCATCATTAATTTTACAGTGAAATCTAGTATTATGGTTATTTGCTAGACGATACCACCTAACAAATGCTAAAGCATGTTTCTTAGATCCTTCCAGTAAATGTAAAGTATGTTCAAAATAAAATTGAACAATTCTGGGATAAGTATCTTTAGTATTTCCATGGGTAAATTGTGATAAAATTTTAGCTGATGTGATGTGTCTTTTTGAATATGATGATGCAAATACTTCTGAGCCAAGTCGTAATCGCCCATAAATATTTACCTTTGAAAGTACTGGTATAGCTTCTGGACTGGCAACATGGATATTTGCTAATGCTACAAAATCTTTATTTTCATAGGCATTGTAATAATATTCAACCAACAGATCTAATATTTCTTTTGGTAGGTTTGTATTTATTCTTTTAGAATTAAGAAAAGTACCCAGAAAGGATTCAGAACCTGTTCCAGCCATTTTTTCCACATTTCTGGATATAGATAAAAATTTCTGGTAGTCTATTTCATCAAATTCATCTTGAACTGCAAGACTACTACTAGTTTCTTTTAATGCTATTAAAGGTAAACAAGCCGATAAATGTTGGTGATCTTGGACGCACGAAGAAAATTGATCAAGAAGGGAGTTATAATGAATTGTTTTTAATAATTCTAGCTCAATTTTTCTGTTACTAGTATGATACGAACCTATATATATGAAATAATAAATAATTAATAAATATGAAATATATAAATGTAATAAATTTATAAATTTAGTTAAATATAATTTTTTTTTTAATTTTAAAAAATCTGTTAAATATTTTATTTCGTTTTTATTATAGTTTTTAAAAGGTGAAAGTATTTAAAAGTAGACTGGTTTTTATTGTACTTACCCAGTAAACTATTCATTCTTTCATAACTAAAACACCAAAATGCATATAACAGTTCATAGTCTAAAGCGCAATGGCAAATATGCAAACATAAATGTAAATTTGGAGAAATTTTTTCTGGTCCGTAATTTTGCTTGATAAGTTTTACCATTGTTAAAAGCCGTTTGTGTGCCTCTTCTAATCCATTTATTGATATAGTTCTGCATACAAGTATATTATACACGCGAACAAAATTGGCAAGAATTGCTCAATCTGATTTCCGAAGTAGATCCCAGGTAATTGTAGTTGCGTACACAAGGATAAAATTTTTCCACTGATTTGCAGTAAACCTTGAAAATCCTTCTCCTGTATCAATTCTATAGGGGATTCTGCCAATATCTTTTATTAACTTAGCCCTATTCTGCATTATTTTAAGGTCTTTTTGTGTTAATCATTCTTCTTCAATCCACAACCATAGTACAATCCATTTAGCGATACCCAAAAATAAGCAGTGCATGGGATCGATAATGAGAAATCTGACTGAATCAAAATAACTAAGCCGATACATTTCTGACCAACGCACTGAAGTATTACATACGTGAAGACTTCTAGCATCTTTAGTTTTACATTCCAACCATTCCTGTGCATTTTTTTGAACTTGGTTGATATCTCTTTCAACAAACCATTTATCAATATTATCGAATCCACCAAAATTTGGCTGATTTTGATCATTGAATTGTGTTTTTTTTAAACATCTATGTTCTATGACAGGCTACACGTGCTGATATGTAACCACAGAGCTTTCTTGCAGCTGGAATATCACAAGAGCAGCATATTACTGCAGCTCGAATTGGCTTATTAGTGCTTTTATATATTCCTGATAGTTCAATCCCATTCCATAATTCTAGTAATTGATCAATTATTGGAGCCAAATAGTGATTTATATAGTGTAGGCTTGGTTCATTTGGTCCGGGAATCAAAGCTATTGTCAGAATGTTTGATGGTTTAAATTTTTCATTTCGTGAAAGGTTACATATTACACCATATATGGCTCCCACACTATAATTGGCATTATTGAATGGCCGAAACCAATCAATATTTAACATAATACCCAAGTGTCTATCAGCCACTTCTTTCCGAAAGAAAGGTAAATTTTGGTCTTCATCCCAAAATATTTTCCAAACTCGTCCATCATAATTATCATTTAAATATTGAGGAACATTACACTGATCTGCCTATTTCCTGCATGAACTCTCAAATCCTTTTCGATTGTACATCAATTGTAATTGGTGTTTTAAACTGACAATTGGAAAAATTAAAGAAGGCTCTCCATTTATAGTGTGAACTGTCTTAGTAAGTTTCATCATACATTCATTTCTTTGATTTGCCATTGGATGATTTGGCAAGTCAATATATGTACAATGACTTTTAATAGGAACTTGAGTAGGTGTGGTAGTTGATACTTCTGCTATATTATATAATTTACAACATTTTTCACATGCTGCATATTTTATTATATGAACACATACACCAAGTATTTTGCATGCCATATACAGTGATGTAGGAAAAGATTTATATGTATTTGCGTCCAAAAGTACCAAAATATATCTAAAAAATTTAACTAAAGAATCGGTAGTGACGTTAGATAACTTATGCCTTTCTTGGTATAATAAAATCCATAAGACAATCCAATTGAAGCTTTCATTAAAATCAACAATAGGTACTTCGATATCATCATATATATCATCTGTTTCTGGTGCATCAAACCCGCTAGATGAAGATTCATTTGGATTTTCTTCAGTAAAATTGAGTTCATCATCAACACTTTCACTATTATCACCATCGGCATCACCATCATCATCATAATCAGAAATATTCTGTTCGATGACAACTATTGGATATGTTATTCCACCACTACCAATATCCTTTTGTTTTCCTTTTGGTTTATCTTTCGGTAATTTCTTGGGAAGGAATGTGTAGGTTTTTCTTTGAGAAGGTTGATTAGATTCGATCATCATCTGATCATTATCATCAACTTCCATAGAATCCAGTCTATCTGGCAAATCTACTGATTCATCTAGACTTGGGTCATTGGTCGAATCTTGATTTAGGTCTGTATTTTCGATAATTCCTCTTGGTCTAATATTCTTTTTTAGTTCATGACTTTTTTTTGTACGCGAATCAACTAAAATTCCCTTACATTTATCGCAATTACAAGGAACTTTCCTTGTTTTACTTTTATTAGGGTGATTATTATTATTAGAAACCTTTACAAAAGATTTTTTTATTTTTCGATATGTTCTTGGCATTGCAAAATTCTTATTTTATTTTTATATGATAATTTTTCAATTCTTTGAAATAATAAACGAAATATTATATCCATTAATAAATATATTTTATTGAAATGTTGATTAAATTCTAAAAAAGGAAAATAAATTGTAGTCTAAATATAGTCTAATTTTGAATATATAAAGATGCATCATGGATTTTAATTTGATTTTTTTTTTCTAATTCTTCGTTAGATGATTGATTTCTAAATTAATTATTGACCAAAGAAAAAAAAACATTGTAGAAAAAAAAGTATAAAAAAGAATTTATTAATTTTTTCTTTTCTTTTTTTCCTAAATTATTTTCATTTTTGCTCTTTTGGTAAAAATGCGTAGGCGAAACCCGTTTAAGATCAATAAAATTAGCCAACAACGTTTTTACACAAGTTCATATAATCGTCATTCATCAAGAATGAATATTTCAAAACATCGCCGATATTCATCAAGTCCTTCTCCAGAAAGGAGGAAATATACTTGACATTCTCTACTGGGAAATAAATATTCAAGTTACTCTCGTTACTCATCACAGAGGTAAAAGTTTCCTATCTGTAAAAGCATGAATTAATAATCTAATATAATTACTTTAAAAGTGATGTTCAAAGAAAACGCTTACCAAGTACTAGAAGGGTCATTTGTTTAATATTCGAAATAACTGCTCATCAACTTGGGAATATGAAAATGGTCACTCATCAATCAATAGGGATTCAAGAGAACATGATCGCTCATCAATCATCAGGGATTTAAGAAAACGTGATCGCTCAAGGGATTCGAGAGAACGTGATCGCTCAAGGGATTCAAAAGAACGTGATCGCTCATCAATCATCAGGGATTCAAGAGAACATGATCGCTCATCAATTATCAGGGATTTAAGAAAACGTGATATTGGTCGTTCATTAATCATCAGGGATTCAAAATCGCCAAAAGGATACGATAGTGGTATGATTATAATTTGGTTTTTTGTAAGGATCTTTTTTTTAACTAATAATGATATTAATTTACAGTGATTGAAGCCTTAAGTAGAGCTGTCAGCTCATTTACAGAAGAAGTTTAAAGCATTAAAGCAGCCTCTCAATCAAAGCCAGATCAATCAAGACATAATCGGACAGAATCACCTCTGGAACCAGAAGCTGGCTACTATCGTTATGCTCAAAACGTTCTTGAAAATATGGATGAAGAACAATATAAGAATTTTCATGTAAGTTATTTTTTACTATAATCACTATTTCTTTTTTTTCTTAAATATTACTAACCTTTTTTTGAATTAAGGATGAAGTAGTGCAGATCTTGAGTGGTCTTGATGACACATTACAACTGGACCATACTAAAAAATGAATCGATATTGCCTGACATGTTGCAAAAAATACAATGAAAGAGATCGATAAAGCTATGAAAGGAAGATTTCAATACAAAGATACAGAACTGAAATGGGTTTTGCAACAATTGCATCGTCACCGTCATGAAAATTGGAGGATTAATCTTGATCCAGAAAAAGCAAAGTCAGAAAAAAAAGAAAAGGAATCAATTCTCGTAGAGGCGATGTAAGTACTTCGGTAAACTAGTTTAGCAAATTAAAACTTGTTACTAATCGATTCATTTACTTCAGATAGAAAAAGGAAAGACGCCAGAAAGGTTTGACCCACATGTTTAACGCCAAAGATAATTTACTTAGCAAGTTTAAACTATCATCTTTATCTTGGGACGAATTCAATGACGATTGTGAATTATTGATGAATGAAGGCGAATTCCATAGCAATGAAGTGTCTGAAACTGACGATGAACTTGCCCAAGAAGAAGTCAATATGAATATCTGACCAAAAAATAAAAAACAACAGATAAACATGTTCTTCATGTTTATGACAAACCCTGGAGGTCAAGTCGTATAAGTAAATTGCTTATTTGCTTCGAGTTTGCGTAATTCATCATTTTATCGATACTGATTATTGATTTTTTTTTATTCAATAGGTTCGTGAATTACTTCGTCTATCTGATAGCGTTGGCGAGAAAATAAGTCATGTAAAAGTTTTTTGTCACCGTTGGTATGAAGATAAAAAATGGTGCGATAATTCTAAGCCACCTGAAGATACTCCGGAATGGACAATCTCTTGATCATATGATAACAATGATGATCATCAATCAATGATTAGTTTTGGTGAGAAGGAAAATATCGAAAATGAGTAAAAGGACGGGAAAAGAATAGTATTGTATTATATTATTGTTTGTATAGCTTAATATTGCTTGTATATAATAAATAATAATAATATTTTATATTAACAATTTTCGGTATTAATATTGGTAAATTGAAATAAATAATACTGTAAATATCAAATGAAAATCATGTATAAAAGAGGATACTATTGGGTTTGATATTTATATAATATTTACCCGATTGGTAAACCGATTCTTCATTAATTAAAAATGATATTTATAAAGAATAGTTTACCGATATTGTCCAGAATTTAAACATTAATAGGCAAAGAATCGGAAATGATCATCAGACTATTATAGTAGTACAATCTATGAAAAATCAGTGAAGAATCGGGTTTATGATTCTTTACAGATATACCATCATTTGACCTGTGTCCAGTAGTTCACCAAAACTGTCATGTCTTCCTATCAATTTTCCAGTCTTCTTAATAGTGAGCGTATTTTGGCAAGCAATGTAAGCTTACCCGACTCACTACCGTCTAAACCTTTCTTCAAATTCTTAAAAGTAGAAGAATTGTTTTTCTTTCCAGAAGGTTTGCCCTCCTTTTTCTTGTTATTTGTAGTATTTAGTCCAACCTTGTTATCCGAGTCTTGGTTCTGCTTCTGATTACGGCCACTTCTTGATTATTGATTACGACTTTTAGATAGTTGAGGGGAAAAGTATCTAGTCCAAACACCTTCATATTCATGCAAGTTCAACTTGGTATTCGTGATTTTATCCAAATCTGCCCAATTTTTGTAATACATGATGAGCTTGCGGGTACATTTTTCCTGAACCACCTTAAAAGCTTTGCATTCCAAATGTGAGATAGGTGATTGGGAAGGGTCTGAAGGGTATAGCATTAATAAGTTGATGACAGTTCCAGGTAAATCTTTCACCACAGCCTGAAATCGTTCTTTTTCCTTTCTTTGTTGAAGATTCCAGTTAGCAGGATACCATCGGACAGGAAAACCTCCTAAAGGAGCGGTCCAGACTCCTTGATTCTATAGATTCATAGCCCACTCATTGAAGTCAATTGAAACGGTGACCGTTAAGTATTTCTTCTGACGTTTAGTCTTGAAAGCGATCACGTGACCCATTTCTCAAGATGCTGGAGAAATTCGAGCTGAGTCCAAGTGGAGGAGATATCGTATAAAGTAATTTCCCGAACATTGTCCTTCAATACTGGATCATATCCGGTCATTACCAATTGTAATTTTACTGATTAATAATAAATAATATTAAATTATTATCATTATAATAATTTAATATTCTTTGTTAAATATAAATAAAATTTATTTTTACATATTTGAGTAAAATAATATTAATGATAAAGTATTGAAATCTGAAAAATATATATATGAAATTTTATCATCTGAAACATTAAGAAAGTAAAACTATTAGGAAAAAATATTAAGCATTAAAATACTAGATTGTAATAGATTGTATTTTGTAATAGATATAAAAAAGATATTTGGAAATCAAGAAAGAATAAATAAAAAAAAAAATCTATTATACAAGAGTTAGTTTAAAGAGATAAAAAGAAAATCTTAATAGGTTATATAAGTATTTTAGATAGAAATACTTAGACTATAAACTTATTAAAAATATCAGATTAAATTTCAAATGGAAATTTAAGTCTATTTTGAAATGATTATACTAAGAAGATATTGATTATCTATAAGAACTGGTTTTACTACTTCACTTTTGAATTTGTTGAATACAGTAGATCTTTGTTAAGTATAATATAAGAATCATGCCATTTGGTTTAAATAATGTTAATATTGATAATATTAAATCTGATAAAAGTTTACTAGAGATAAAATGGATATTAACCAAGAATTGAAAATGACAAAAAAAGATTGAAAACATGAAAAATACTGATTTATTTAACATCTGAAAAAAGAGAAAAGCTAAGAAAATAGATAGGAACTGTAAAGTAAATGTATAATAAAATTCTTGAAAATGGTGTAAAATAATGGAATTACTAATATAAATGTTATATAAGAGTGTTATTTAAATAATAAATGCTTCACTGAAGAATTTTTATAAGTAAAAGAAACTTTTAAAAAAGTATATTTGTATGTAATTTAACAATTAATAAGCATATATAAAATGAATAAGAAGTTGTATAAAAATAATTTTTGAATAAAATACTAATTAAAGAAGAATTAAACTGAATACAAACCATCTCAATTTTTGCCAGGGATTGGAAAAGAAATAGAGGAGAATATATGTTTCTAAAGAGTATTACTTTAGAATGATTATTAGAAATTAATAATATGATTAACATAACTATGAATCATCTGAGACATTTTTACTTGTATGTTTCCATTCTTTTGGATATTATTAATAACTAAGATGAAAGGTACTTTTACTAAATCCAGGTATTTACATGTTTATAACAGGTTATAATCCTATTGTCAATTAATTGAGTGGGATAATGGTTATTGACAAAATATTTAAATTGTTCAAGAAATACAATAAATTACAAAGTGACAAGGATCTTACTTTGAAAAGAACAAACAAGAGAAAGAGATTTCAATTGAGAAAAAAGATGCTATGAATCATATAATGAATCCATAATTTGATAGATGAGTGCAGTGTTGGGCAATTGGACAATTTTGGACAGGTTTGGACAGTTTTGGATAAGTTTTGGACAGGGTTTTTGACAATTCTCTTATGTCTAAAACCTTTAAAGTTAAAAATTGTGTCCAAAACTCATCACTGGATGAGTGCTATCACCAGCTGGCCTGATGGTTATGTTAGAATTACAAGATCATTTTGCTACCTGAATTCAAAACATCATATATTGTGCTCAAGAATAAAAAAAGATCCAATTGAGGATAGCCCACACAATGCTAACTTGGTTACATTTCAGATTTTGAATGTTTCTTTTGCACAAGCTAAGAGAGTACAAGTATTGCAAGGTTATCAAGTGAGGGGTACACTTCTAAGACATGTGGGCATTGCGGACAAATCAATGACAAACTGGGTGGTTCTAAGACTTGATCGGGATGCGAATAGGGTGAGGAACATCTTACTCAAATTGTTAACGAAGGGTCAGGTTTTGGCCTGATATGACTAACTCTATTTATTCATGTTGGATTCAATTTCAAGGGTGGTCTTATCATTTATGGTTGTACGAAGCCCATTCTAGCTTTTATTCTTACCTCTCTTCTCGAAAAATCTTTGGTTTACAAATGAAAGAAATTGAAATTTGGGAACATGTATTAAAATGATGCACATGGTATATCTTATTCTCGATTAGCTCAGTTTGGCTTCACAAACTTGAACCGCAATAGTCCAGGGTCAAGAAATTAATACTCATGATAGCAATGTTAGGATCATGCCGTTAGTTACTTCCTTGACATTAATGGTCATATAATTCAGAAATTATGGAGGAGTGCTACTAAATTTTTGACGGAAAAAATAAGCAATTTTATTTTATTATTAACTATGATATTAGAAATTAATAATTTTTCTTTAAATAAGTTAATTGTTTTAATAAACTATAAATTTCCGAACTTTTCTTCTTTCTATAAAGGTATTGTCTTTTTTTTTGATCTTAAATCGTCAGTTGCTTTAGTATTCTTAACACCCAATATTGCTGAATTATCTATTAAAATCATAAATTATTTTAATACAGCTTTATAATAAAATAATAGGATAATAATACTTATACTTACGCGAAGATTCGTCTAACAGTCTATCCGCTAAATCACGTACAATTCCACTTGTAAGATATTTTGTAGACACTCCTCGTGGAATTAATGGTTGAGATAATAATGACTTCAATTCGAGCTTCATTGATCGAATTTTTTCCTTAATTTGTTTCTGATTTCCTCTATTAGAATCGTTAACGCTAAATAAATGCAAATTGGTTACTTCGTTGTTAGAACTATCAACCTAACTTTATAAATACCAAGAACTTACATTTCTTCATCATCTAAATCAATTTCAAATTCTTGGGCGGTTTTTTTTAACCAATCATTATCGTGGTTCATCTATATTAAAGGAAATCAATAATTGTACATATATGCATATATATAATTAGATATTTCGCACCTTCTGCATTTTGTGTTCATCTTGATCAATTTGTCTTGCCAAGTTAATTCTCTGTTTCATTGAATTTAAAATGCCTCGGTCAACAGGAAAGTCTGCTAAGCCGTCAACTAAAATAAAGAGAAAATATATTATTTATAAAATATTTGTTGTTTTTTTTTCTAAAATATATTCAATCGGTTTTATTATATTTGAGTTTGTGGCAAACCTGTTGTTGGTGAAGTATTCATTATGAGAGTATTTAAGAAAATTCAGCGCCAATTTCTTACCCTTATTTAATTTCAAACACAACTTCTGATATAAACTTAGTTCTTCGGGACTACACAACATTAAGCTTACACCTTCTTTCCTTGAACGGGCTGTACGACCACTTCGATGAACATATATCTAAAAAAAAAAAAAAAAAATATTAACACAATGAATAAATTAATTATTAAAAAGATTTAGGAAAATAATTTACATACATCACTAGAACGCGGTAACTGATAGTGTATTACATGTTCAACCAACGGAATATCTAATCCACGAGCTGCGACATCACTAGCAATCATAACGGCTTTAGGGTTCTGCTTAAATCTGTAAATATAAACGCGTTAGTTAGCCGTATAAAAATAATAAATGGTTCTTACAGTCCTTCACGTTTACCTATCTAAATTCTTTAAACGCTGCCTTTGTTGCATTTGTGCGTGAAGTCCAAAAACGTCGATATTTAATAACTTAATTACTGGTATAAGACGTCGAATGCAATCAATACTGTTAACAAAAATAAGGGTCCGACCAGGATATCGCGTAATAAAATAATACGTATATATATCCTAAGAAGTATAAATATTAATAATTGAATATTAACAAACAATTTAGTAGAATCAATAATACACCTTCTCTTTGGTCAGACAATCAATTTTGGATTCTTGTAATGTTTCAGCAACCGCATCTTCAGGAGTAATATCCAGAAATATTGGATTTGAATCATTAAATTCAAGCCGATGCATTAATTCAGCTTAATTAAATTAAATTATATTATTAGATTTTTATATTTTTGTAATTGATTTATTAATGGTTATAAATAAAAGAAAAAAAAAACCATTTACTCATTGTTCCTGTGGATTCTTTATTTATCTTTTTCGATTTGTATTTCTTTCTCTTCAAATCTTCTTTCAATTTGTTATTGAGCGTAGCAGAATACACAAAAGTCTGCCGAGGAGTAAGTTCTAATATTGATAATTAAGTATCAATAAAAGAAAAAAGGATCTTAATAATAAAAAATTATTACCATAAGTGCATTCCTTTTCTTTAATATCATTTTCAGCCCATTCATTAGTGTTACTGTCAAATAGTTTATATTAATATTATGTAATTTAATAAAAATCTGCAATATAACTAAAAATAATTAGCTTTTTACTTTCTAGTCCTCGATAAAACAGTTAGAATATGGTTTAACTCTTCAAAATGGCCAATTTCGAGCATTCTATCTGCTTCGTCTAATACTAAAAATTTTATGCGTCGCAAATTACTAAGGTACGCATCATTCTGTAGCATAAACCAGAATTTGATAGGATCTTAAGTATGAAAGAATTATACGCTTAAATAAATTTTAAAATATTAATTAAATAAACCTCAGAGAATAATTCCCATAAACGACCAGGTGTAGCGACAATAATATTTGGATGTTTTGATAATAATCGCTGTTGTTTCTGTGTAGACATTCCTCCCACAATTGTTATAATCTTTCGATAGTAATTTAACGTTAATGTTTTTTTTTTTTTTTTGAAAAAAAGGTATAGCAATAACTAATTCTTACTTTTATTAGAGAATTTTTACTAATATGTTGAAGATGGTCTCTAATTTGCATAGCTAATTCTCTTGTAGGCGTCAAAATAAGCCCTACAAGCTGATTCGAGTCCTTTACTTTCTTAAATATGTACTCTAATATAGGTATTCCAAAAGCAAGTGTTTTTCCAGAACCAGTTTCAGCAGCACCTATGACATCACGGCCGGATAAACTAAAATGAAGTGTTTTTGCTTGAATTGGCGTAGGTTTATTAAATCCGAGTGATTTTAACTCATTCATAATGATAGGAGAGAGATTGAACTGATTCCATGCGGAAAGATCGATTCCTTTTAATGAATGTTATTAGCTAATAAGCCTATTAATAATTCAGAAATATGAATTTTCAATATTATACCTTCCATAGCATTCTGATCCGTTCCTTTTTCGTCCTGAATACTATTAATATTTGTGCTGACACTTTCTTCCATTTTTGAATCATTATCAATTTCGTCCTCATCATTCTCATCATCGTCCTTATACTGGTCTATATTATTATCAAAATTATCATCTTGTGATCCTACATTTTCTTCGGATTGCTTGTATTCTCTTATATTTTTATTCCTTATTAAAATACTCTCATCAAATGTATCCAAGTCATAATACTTAGATGACTCCTCTTCTGGTAATGGTTCCTCAGGTTTAGCGCATGGGCTGTCACTTTTTGCATTTGATAATCTATTACTACTTTTTACTTTCTGTTAATAAATTATGTTATTCAAGAATTTAATCATAAACGATAAACAATAATTTTGTTTCGCTATAGTACTGACCTTAAATTTAATCGTTTTTCCTTGTGTATCTTTATTATCATCATACTCAACATCAATATCATCAATTTCCTCTAGGCATAAAAATCCTCCTAAATCGTCTCCCATAAAAATTGAATCGGGATAATTCACTTCGGACCATTCAAGAGAATTAAGTTCAACATAACCATCGTTTTTAATAAAATTATCTTCTTGGACTGCATTTTTTCGTTTACGTTTTTTACTGATCGATGGTACTACTACTGAGAAGTCTCCTTTTTCTTGAGCAGGTACTGGAGGAGGATTTGATAATGATATCTCACGCCATTCCTGTTCTGGTAGGTTATTCAATCTATCATCCTGCTTTTTTTTCTGTCTACGAGCACGTTTTGCGGCTTTTTTGCTTAATTTTTCTGCAATTATTGCTTCAGTATCTTCAGCTGGAATAAATTGGCCTGAAAAATTAGCCTTAGGTCGTATACTTTTTTCACGTTTCATGGACAACAAAAAAAATTTAAAATTCACTAAATTTTTTTGATTATCAAATTTTCAGTTTTTATTTTTTCTTACTGATTGTTACACCAACAAACTCACCAATTTTCACGTGATTTTGTACATTAAATGAAGTTTCCCAATGCTAAACGGACTAAAAATTAAAAATGTCAACAACACAAACTTCCGCATCTTCTAACAAGGTAAAATTTGTATTTATTTACTAAAAGTTTTGTGATCTGCTAAAATTTTAAATTATTCAATTTAGTTGGACGACAAACGTTTATATATTGGAAATTTAGATTCTTCAATAAATGAGCAAGTGTTACTTTTAAGTATATTAGGATTCAATTAATTATCAATATCTAATTGTCTTCTTTATTTCACAGATATACTGTTGTAAAGTTATTTGAACCTTTTGGAAAAATAACCCATCTTGATTATCTCTTTCATAAGAGTGGACCAAAACGCGGTCAACCAAGGGGTTATTGTTTCTTGGAATATAGCAAAAAAGAGGTACGTTATTTTGTTTACATTGTTCCAACTTCAACATAATAAAATAAATATTAATTGCTTTTTTAAAAAAATTACAAATTATGTGTTCTGTATACCGAATTGCACCTAGGAAGCCTTGAGAGCGATGACAGCTATGCATTCAAAATTGATTAAGAACCGATCCATGATAGTGACCTTTGCATATGCAGTAATTATATCAGTTTTTAACCTCATTTTTCTTTTCTTATAGTTAATAAAAATGATTATTTATATACTAATATTAGGCACCTGAAAATTATGATGGTAAACAATTGGGTGGTCTCAAGAAACGACCTTCATCATCGGTTAATAGGCCAACGACAATTTCTTTGTTAAAAGCACATAAGATGATCAATGCTAGGTTAGTTTGTAAATTGATACATCTAAATATCTAATAATTTAATGACACATATTTATATTTAACTAATGCCGTTTTTAGTACTGATTCAAAGATACAAGCTTTAGAGAGAAAATTAGCGCAAATGAAACAAGAAGATGTATCATCAAATATTTCTACAACAAAATCGTATTCACAACCTTCATCTCCACAACCATCTACTTCATTTTCAACAGAGAACATAAAGGTAGAAAGGAACTTATCAGCACCAACTTCACCATCAAGAACCACAACTAAGGGTAGAGGGAAGAGATTCAACCCTTATGTTATTCCTAAAAGTGAAAAATAATTCCTGTGTTATATTATTATTAAGTTATTCTCTTTTTAAATAATATATAGAACAAAAATATTTCAATTTATTTTTCTGTGATCATTCCCTTTCAAAGAATTCACTGCATTTTAATAGATTTAATTATTTCCTCTTTGGTAATATTTCCAAGTTCTTAGATATATTGTACTTAGTAATTTATCTTACGCATCAAGAGTTTTTTAATGGCTATTACAATAAAATGACAATTTTAATCAATGTTTAAACTGGAATTAAAGCAGTGTCTTTTAAAAGCTACTTTAAACATCATTTTTTAAGAATGTAAATGTAATATATTCGAATTTTAATAAAAATAAATAAATAAATAAATAACGATATTATAATCTCCATTTTGATCGTAATCTTTCGATCACTTATGTACATGATCTTTTTTGATCATCATAGAAAAATTCAAAATGATTCAATTATACAAAAATTAATACATCTCGCTATTCATATAAAAAAAATTTATAAAATGTTTTAACACACATATATTTGATAGAGATTTTATGGTTTTTACAATTGAAAAGTGATAACTATGCTACTTAACGTCTAGTTTTTCAACAAAGCCAAAAAACTTGTAAAAAAAAATAATTATTATTTTTTGATGTAGTACTGCATAAGAAAAACAAGTTGATTATCATAATATACGCGTCAATTCGTCGAATCGGGATTACATAATAGGGTGCTCTATAATATATACATATATAGTTTCCATAACTTTTATTTTGCTTTCGCTGTTTGCATTTAATAATCAAAAGCGAAAAAAAAATATTACTATAGTAAAATGTCAGAAATTTTTAATTGTTCGCTTGACTATTATATTACTGAAGAAGGTGCAGTGCCTTTGCTTCCTTTCGCTACACACGTGTCACTACAAATTATTGATACTTTACCATGGAATACCATAATTTTACAACCAGAATCTAATTCACAAGAAGATACTTTTCAACTAATACAACCAATATTCTTTCAATCACACATACAAGAAACCTCGTGTCCTGAACAACAACAAATACAAATGAGTGAGCCCACAGAATGTGATAATAAAGAGAATGTCACAGAGCAAGAAAAGAAGATTAGGATATTAGAGTTTACTTGTACATATTGCAATAAACTATATCGAGGAAAGAATGCGAGGTCTATATTACGGCGGCATCTCAAAACCAAACATAATATTAATCCACCTCGAGGTACAAGATGGGATAATGATCCTAATAGGCCGAAAACTGACGAAGAAAGGCGTTTGAGAGTGTTAGAATCAAAGAAAAGGTAAGAAGATTAACTCAAAAAAAAAAAAATATATTACTAACTCGCGCGTATCTCGGAAAATTTTGCGCGTCTTTTAGTATAATCAATTATTAGAGATCATCAATTCCCAATTTATGCGAGATCATATTGATTATTCATTTATATATATATATATATGAATCGTGATTGTAAAAAATAGGTGGGCTCAAAAATCACGAACAAAGAAAAACCTTGAGAAAGCATCATCACCCTATATAAAACAAGAAAGTATTGATGAGATTCCCAATAATGACAATTCAGATTCAGATTTGGGTAATCATGTCGATACAAATTTGCTTTTTCCTGGTTTTGTAAAACAAGAAAGTATTAACGTGATGCCGTATCAAGTAATTAATTCAGATTTAGGAAACTCGCGGCAAGTGGATAATGAACCGGATTTAATTTGTTCGGAATATATAAAGCAAGAGCGTATTGATGATTATGAGATTCCAAATCAAGTCAATATTGTTGAAGGGGTCCCAAATCAAGTCGATATAAATTCGGAGAATCAAATCGATATGAACTTACTCTATGATGCTGGTTCCATCAAATCAACTTTACTGTGGCTAGGAGTCTCTGCTGAATCGGATTCTGGTCGTATGGGTTATTCTGATGGGAGATATAATCAAGAACAAAATAATTTTTTAATAAAAGAAGAATGTGAATGAATTTGTTAGCCGTTCATATTCCAATGATATCTTTGAAATTGTGTTGGAATTTATTTTGTATTTGATTAAATAAAAAAATGTAAAAGGGATTTGTTGATTTAATAAAAAAAAATATATTTTTTAATTGAATATAATTTTTGGATCTTGATTAATCAGTATTATATTTAGAACAACCCATTTTTATACATGACATACTTGTTCCAGGGGTTTCAAAGTTTAAAATTTAACTTAAGGTTAGCTGTTAGGACATGTATGTATGATCAGCAGGGTAACGTAAACAATTACATATTTCACATGCAATCCATCCATAATTAGAAATTCGCGGATTTATCATCTTACCCATACATGTAAACACCATCGTGACGTTACGTGATGAAAGAATGCTACAACATATATGCACAATGCAACTAAAATTGACTAAAGTGCATATTGTGTATTGTGTCAACCCATGTAACACAAATATTGTGATATATGATTATGTGAATAGTAACTTATTTCCTCAGCTTCGATTGCTTTTACATATTCAATCTTTCGCATATTCTTCATATTCAATCTTTTCGACTTATCAATATGGAGCCACCAATCGTTTATTACCCTCGTTCCGAATACATCGAAACAGTATGTTGTTTACCATATATGTTTTTTTTGTAAAAAAGTATTTTATAATTTAATTTAATTAAATGATTGATACTATTGCATTTTTTTTCGGTAGGACACCGGTAATAAAGTAAGTCGTAAGTCTGTAATCTGTGGAAGTCAAAATATCATACTGGGTGGAAAGGTAATTCGCGAAAAATATAGTTTTGTTAATGAACTAAAAAAATTTTTTTCTTTTCATTGTTATTTAACAGTTGTCATTCTCTTGTATAGACTATTATCCAAACTGAATGCGTTATCAGAGGGGATTTGAGACGTACTGGAGGTGGTCATGCTGTAGTTGTTGCCATTGGTAGATATTGTCTTCTGGCAAGAGGAAGCATTATTCGACCCCCGTATAAAACATACAAAGGGTAATTAAAATTTCACATTTGATCTAAAATAAAAAAAAATGACATTAATTAACCACTTTATTTATTTTTGGTTTTTTTTTATTATTAATTTAATATAGAATATTCAGTTATTACCCTATGAAAATAGGAGATCATGTAACTATTGGAGAAGGAAGTATTGTTGAAGCAGCAACAATAGGTTCTTTTGTACATATTGGAAAAAACTGTGTAATTGGTAGATTTGCAATCATAAAAGATTGTTGTAGAATTGAAGATAACACAGTAATACCACCAAATACAGTTGTGCCTTCTTTCTCAATTTACGAAGGATCTCCTGGTAAGTTAATGTATATTCTTTTTTCTTTTTTTTTTTGGAACTCCGTTAATAATTTATTATTGCATTAGGCGTATTTGTCGATGAATTACCAGAATGCGTACAAGATCTTTATGAATCAAAGACAAAAGATTATTATGCTAAATTTCAACCAAAAGATTGAAACGATAACCATCGCCGTCCGAATCATAATAGAAATTATTATCATCAAAATTTAGATAATTCAAATTTTTCAACAGGACAGCCAGCGAATGACAATCCATTTTTACTTAACATTTTATTAATGTTTGTCGTAATTGTACAAGCTATATTAGTTCGTAAATTATTCTTTGATACACCACAGTATGCAACAAAGGCAGCACCATCAACATCATCTACAACAGCATCATCCTCTCCTTCATCAGCATCTTCATCGGCATCTTCATCTGCTACCCCATCCACAACAATTGAAGTTGCATCATCTTCAAGGACAACAACAAAGACAATAAATAATAAAGCTTTAATAACATTGTCGCCCATTAACCTCTAAATTAATTTTACTTTATTTCTTGGCTGTTTTTTTTTTTATTTCTAATATTGTAAATTCTTTTTTTTTAATGTGCATTTTTTTTGCATTTATTTTCATTAATAAAGCGAAATTCTATTGAAAGTGTTGTTTTAAAAACGTGTGAAAATGGTATACAAAAGTTTCAATGGGATATACTTTGTATTATCAAAAAATATAACAGTATAAATAACCTTTCTTCAAATTGAGTTTTGTGGAAACTGTCAAAAATCTCTAAAAAAAAATATAATCTACCAATCATAACAAATTAACTAAAAATTCATAAACCATTTCGCCAAATTCTCTATGAATATTTTTATCATTAGCACCTATAATCAGCTCTGGTTTAGCATCCACTAAAGCAGCTTCAATTTTAACTGCTAATTTATCAGGTGAATATCCATCAACGATTGTAATCTTACTGGTTAAGATATAAAAAAAACAATTAAACCTAATTATCGTATAAAATATATATTATATTATATATATAACACTTACACTGGGCGTCTCCAATATTCGGGTTTCCATTCATTATTCTTTTCTTCTTCATTAAGACCTGATATTTCAGCTTTCAATAAATCATTAAGATCATAAGAAGATTTCTTCTTCGTAAAAGCTGATGAAGGCACTGCTGGAGGCATATCTTTATATATCATCAATGCTGGTGAATCTAAATACCATTTACCAGCATTTGTTACAATATCATTAAGACCTGTTAAGGTATTTAAATTTTCAAGTACTATTCTTAATAAAAGTAATTTAATTTCTCTAGTAAGTAATTCCTGAAATTGTGTCAAATTTCTAGTTTTCATATCCATATGTGATAAATGAAGAGTCAATGTTCCAGGAGATTCCAATGTGAATCGAATGCTATGACTATAAAATTTGAAATATTTTAATAAACAATTAAAAATTTAAAAACTATATAACCTTTAATTTACCTGTAATCGATAATTACGATAACTGATCCAGTAAATAATGAGAATTTATCATTACCAATCTTTTTCCACACTTCTTCTATCAACTCTTTACCTTTAGAAAGATTAGATATAAAATGAATTTGAACTGGTACACCCCCATCTCTTAAGGGCTTGGTAGTTGAGTTTAAAATTTCTCGTAAATGAATACAAAAGAAGTGATATTTAAGTAGGTGAAGAGGTTGAGTTAGAATTTGAGCATATCCATATCCACTGTTTAATAATTTAAAAGAAGAAATGTTATATCGACAAAAAAAAAATCTAATAGCGAATTGGCAAAGAATCTTTTAATATTTACCTATCTCTATGTACACCTCTACTTCCTTGTATTACACGTTCTTGTTCCCTAATAAAGTTTCGCCGATGAGACCTCCGAATCAAAAGATCCATGGCTAATTTTAATACGGTACACATAGAAGGTTCTGGTGAAATAGTCCTTCCAAAATTGTTATCCGTTTGAAGTACAGATGTCCAATCATCATCTGTGGATCGAGTCTCCTCTTTCTCTTGTATTGTGTCAGTATTAGCCTATAAAACAAGGTGATTAACCTTACAATTCAGGGATCGAACGTATTATAATTCTTTGTAGTATTTACCCACTGAATTGTCAAATCTACACCAGGGTAAACTTGAAGGCAGACTTCATTTTCAAGAAGTATTACACTAGCATTAGTCATTACACGTGCTTCCTTAACTAACTAAATAATTATAATTAAATATTAGCAATGTTACATGTATACATATATATATTGACTACATATATCTACTTTAACAAAGAATCTTTCTAAATTTTATTTCTTTTATTTCTCGCTATATTTCCTCAGTTATCTTTAGTATTTTTAGTTTATATCTATATTTAAATATAGATAATAAACTGATGAAGCCGACTCTGTTCTCGTCATCTCTTTCTCAACAATTTACATATAATAATATCTTACTTAATTTAAAAATAAAGGTAAAAAGCAAGGAATAAATGTGACGAAACATACTTGTTCAAACAGTTCAGCCTCAAAGACGGCTTCCTGAGCAGCCAAAAGTTGTTGATGAATATTTGAACCTTCGATTGATTCAAAGCGAAGCACTAAACAATTCTTAAATGAGTATTATATTCACTTAAATATGAAAAAACAAAAACAAATTAAAACAATTCATACGAGAATTTTCCTGCACGCGTGGTCCATCATAACCTGGGGCTTCAGAGCTTTTACGTAAACGCAATTTAACTATTCCTTTAGCTTTTTGTGGCAGTGAAATTGCAATTTGTTTTTCATCCGACGATCTCAGAATTTGTGCTGCAGTGTTTTCCATAAAACTAGACCCAGCTGAATCAAAAACGCGAAAATGGATAAGATTTCAAATATCAACAAAATTGAACCATAATGATAATAATAATAATATTAATTATATTAATTTATACTCAACCAAGTTGATAACCATAACTAACAAAAATCTGAAGACCAACGTTTTTTTCTTTGCCGCCACCACGTTGTAAAGTCCAATGATGTTCCCTTAAAGATACTGCTTCGTTCCAGAATGTTCTTTCTTTTTCTACAATGTTGCCCAGTTTTTTGGCTGCCGATGATATAATCCCAGCAGCATGTTTAAGTTGCTATTCAAAAATAATTATTAATTAATAGAACAATTAAGATGTAATTAAATAAATTAATAGAAATTACCTTGCGTTTCATTCCCAACATCAATTTAAAATTCTGAAATTGAGAATGTTTATTTAGTTGGGGAAGGCTATGACCATAATTTTGTATCATACCAGAAGGGACTGGTAATGGATTTGTCGGATGGAAATTTGGTCGAGAATCAGATAAGATTAAATTCAATACATCAATTCCTATACCAATGTCATTATGTGATGCACTATATTAAATAAATTCAAATCAAATTTTAGTTTTATAATGTAAGTGAGTTTTAAGTTTTTAATTCAAATAAAAATCTGAAAGATTATACAATAAAAAAAAAAGGTCATATTCACGCAACAGCATCCTTAATGGTATTTTTCATGACAGAGAGATTAGTAGCTTTATCATCTGCTTTTGATTCTTTTTTCTCTGAACTTTCTCCCTTTTCCAAGGATTCAATGGTCAAATTACGAAAATCTCGCTCTTGCCATAATTTTTTTACTTGTTTTGAGAGTCTTTCTGTCGGAGTCTGCTTACTAAAAAAAACAATGAAATTGTGAATTAAAGTATTTAGATATATTATTAAATATAAATAACGAAAATTACATACGGAAGATAGATTTCTTCTCCCTGATTCGTAACGTCAAATGCAGGAGGTTCAATTCGAGGTTCAATCAATATTTTTTTATCCATTTTACTTCGAAAAGAATAGAAAGATTTTTCAATATTAATTTAGTCAACACGGAAAAATTTTTGACTGGAGAAGAGACAAAAATAATGATTTGACTCCTATTTCAATAATTTTTTAAAAATACGTTCCACAACATATAAAAAGCACTTAAATTACTTTTTGATGTTCGTTATTTTACCTAAAAATTAAAAAGTTATTATGACTCGCAAACGTAACCAACAAACTAATGGAGGACATAATAGAGGTTATACCGAAATCATTAGTCCTTCTATGAAATCTACAAGTAAAAAGTATTAATAATAAACTTTTTTATTGATTACGTTTTTTTCTTTTAGGAGGTAGAAATTGGAATAGAAATCTGACAAATAGTTCTAGTATTATATTGGACACTTCAATTGCTTCAGATCCCGATGAAGCTGCAAGACGCGCAAGGCGCGCTCAACGTTTTGGTGAATTTTTAGAACCTCAACAATTGGTACGAGAAGACTTTTTATTACACAGCTCTTTAGAGTAACTAGCGATCGCTTTTGATTAATTCTTATTATCCAGGTTGAGACTAAGTTTGATGCAAAAATTGGTGGTGATATTAAAAAGCCTCCAATTCGTAATGAGGTAAAATCTGTTACCTCCACACCAAAAAAATCTGATGAAGACCCATTTTACACAATGGAAGATGTAGAATGGTTTTTGGGAGCGTTATGTTATGCTTTGAGAGTGTCAAATCTTATTTCAAATTCTCCCACAATTCCTGGTCAAAGAAAACGAGCTCAAGATTTTTTTATTGATAGTTCACCGCCTGTTTGTTTGTTAGATTTGAGATATGGAAAAAATTTGGAATCTGTAGATGATAATTTAGATTCAGTAGATAAAGAAGTCAATAACCTAAGTTCATTAATTAGTGATATAAGTTTAAATTAATACTACTACGATCGATTAACTTTCAATCCCTGTTTGAGAACATTACATATGTATTTATTAATTCATTATTGATTGTAACAATATAATTCTTTTTCCTTTATTTAATTAAAATTAGTATTTTCAAACATTTTTCTTTTTTTTTTTACTTGTAAATTATAAATATACACTCTTTTTATTCATTAATAATTCTCGATGCTGCTTTTCTTAATCTATTCATAACGGCTAAGCCTTCTTCCTCCTCTGGTATACCTTCGACAATTATACAATCTACATTACATTCATCCAAATGTCTCAATCCTTTAAATAATTCTTTTGCAATTTGTTCGGGATGCATCGAATCGCCCAAAGTATATTCTATTATTCCTTGTGATAAAGATTTGTTATTTTCATATTCTTCCTTTGAACTTATGTACGATGTTCCTGTTGCCAATATTCCAATTGTTAATTTACCATTTTTTCTTATTTTTTCAATTTCCCTATCCATTACATCACGAGATTTATGTTTATCATCAATGTCTACCAAAATAACTTCAGCATCAGGAGAATAATGTCGATATTTCATTCCAGGTGTTGTAGGACCCATTTCAAGTTTTTTATCAACAAAATCTTTTTTATATACTCTAAGATTTTCCATTCCAGGCATCTTATATAATGCTTCAAATGTTATTCCACCGGGTCGTAATATAACTGGTCCGTGAGAACCTATTGCATCAAAAACAGTAGATTCAACTCCAAAATTACATTGTCCTCCATCAATAATTAATGGTATCTTACCATTCAGATCAGTGAACACATGAGAAGCTAAAGTAGGAGATGGTTTTCCTGAAGTGTTCGCCGAAGGAGCTGCTAATGGAAATTCACATAATGATATTAAAGCTCTCGAGATTGGATGTGAAGGAAATCTAACTGCAACTGTTGATAAATTACAAGTTACTTCTGAAGGTATTAGTAAAGATTTTGGTAATAAAATGGTCAAAGGACCCGGCCAAAATTTTTTAATGATTTGTTCATAAATTTCTGGTATTTCGCCAAAATTATTATTATTTTTTGGTAATAAAGCTCTTAACATTTTTAATGAAGAAACATGTACAATTAATGGATTATCTGCAGGTCTATTTTTTACCGCATAAATTTTTTTTATTGAATTTAGTGACAAAGCATTTGAAGCTAAACCATAAACTGTTTCTGTTGGTATAGAAATTACATTATCTTGTTTTAGTAACTCTACGGCCTCTTTTAGAATTGAAAGAGTATTCGGATCTGAAACACTAAATTTAGGATCTTCGATGTCTTGAGAATAAAAATGTATCGTTGACGGATCAATGGTTTTTATTTGTGTATTCATTATAGGAACGTATGTTGAATAAGAGGGTTTAATAAAATTAATTGGTTTCAGAAAACGAGAATGTAAAAAATGTCTAAAGTTGAAACGGAAAAAAGGAGGAAATGACATTCCTAGATCAAAAAAAAAAAAAAAAAAAAAAAAAAAAAAANAAAAAAAAAAAAAAATTCATTGAAATCATTGTGTAATCCGATCATTTGCATATAAAAATAGGTCATAAGCGGAATGCTCTAATTCCGATTTTTCTTTTTCAAAAAGAAATTTTTTTTCGCGTTTAAAACCGCGATTTTATAATTTTTAGCTAATCAAACTTAATAAACATGTCAGACGGTCAAGAAAATAATAAAATTTCATCCTCTGAAGATGTACTTGATGAATCATTTCATACTAATAAAACTGTTACTAAAAGATCCTCTACACTTTTAATACCTCAAAATAAGTTTAAACGCAAGAAACAAAAACGTATTGAGTGGACGCAAGAAGAATTGGAAGAATTGGAAGAAGGGATGGAAAAATTTGGAACCAATTGGACTCTCATATTAAACATGTCATCTGGACCTTTGAAAAATCGAACGAACGTCCAACTCAAGGATAAAGCGAGAAATGAAAAACGAAGAAGGGAAAGAGAAGGAATTCCACTTGGAATTTTTCAAAAGGCTACAGGATAAATATTTGAAGAAAGTAATTTTTTATTGATAATTTATTATCTTTATTACTTTTTATTTCATATACAATATGTTATAATATATAACTATATTATTATTTTTTTTTTTTTTTTTTTTTACAATAGATTATATTTCAAATATTGAATATATTGATATTCCATATATTTCATATAATAATCTTTTTTACGTTAGGTAAATTAAACTTTGCGAGGTGTGCGGATTTAACGTGGTGATTTGGTGATTTATTCTAAATGTATAGAAGGAGTATAGAAGGGCAGTAAGTAACAAACAACGAATTTTATACATTTAATAAATTACAAGTTGAGAAAACGAATTATACAGTATATCAAATAATAACGCTATTGACCTTATAAGAGAAATAAGGTTTTTATGTCCGTTGGTGAATGGTGACTAAGATTTAATACCCGACATTCTTTCGAACCTTGAAAAATTCTATTTTTTAAAATTTCTTTGCCAACAAATTCTTTATAAATTAAAGAAAATTTATTACGGAATTACTAATCAAAGTGTAAAATGAATCTAAATAAAGGTTTGTAATCTAGTGATTTAGATAACGGCGTGAGTTCACGTGTGGATGCATTTTTTTTTCTTGTCACCGATGTTTTTTATCTTCATAAATATATGACAAGTAAAAAATCCTACTTAATTGTCACATAGATGATTGAAACTAATTGGTAGATTTACTTTGCTCATCCATCGTGAAAATAAATACAAGCTTAATCCTAAAAAGAGAATTATTCCGAAGTCCGTTGGCTTGATACTTATATAATAAAGTCCAAAAAAATGATTTTTTTTCAAAGAAAAAAATAAATAAATAAATTCTCAAAGAATAATATTCAAATATCATATATACAAATATTTAAACATTTATAATGTTCTCGTGTATTTGTCCAGCTTGTTTAATGGAGGAAGTTATCCCTCCTAAAATAACCAGCAAAAAAGAACGAAACATGAGATCAGGACATCCGCTAACTCCGTCTGTATCATATTCTTTTCTACAATCTTGGGAACATGATTCATTATTTACATTTGATAAATATACTATAAATATTTCAATAGGAATTTCATCATCTTCAAGCATAAGCAACGATTCAAGTAGTAGTGATAATGAAAGTGAAAATAGGTTTATTGAGAGAAATAAAATTAATGAAATTGATCAAAAGCCTTAAATTCATTTATTACACTTTTTAAGTTAATTTTTTCATTATTAGATTGTTTTATATACAAATAATATAATATATATTGATTTTTTTAAATTTATATTAAATAATTATTTTATTCTTTTATGCAAAAATTAATTTTATAGATTAAATTTTATATAATATTAAATAATAAATTCATAATCTTCCAATCCTCAAATACAATTATTTTTATAAGACAGTAAACAGTCAGAACTCGATATAACGAACCCTCCTTTGGGTCGTTATATCGAATATTTTATAAAGCAAATATTTCTATTATACCGATTTATATATTAAAAAGTATAAAAATCGGTACATCTAAAAAATATATCAATATAAAATCACGTTTATAATAGGCCAGTTCATAATTGATTGAACGGTCGGTTGCACTAAAAATTCAGACCAATAAAATTTAACTGTAGAATGATCAACTGACCGTTCAACGTGAACCACCAAAAACGTAGGTCGTTTTGGTCGAGTAGACAAAAATACTGACAAAAATAAACAAAGCCATAACTATTGGTTGCCTTATGTTTATCAATCAAACCAATTCAAAATTGAACTTTGATCATGAGATTAGTGTAACATGACCAAAAAAGCCGATCGAACAATTATGAACTGGCCTAATATCAATAGTTCAATACAATGTTATCATACCAGATACAGAAACTTGTAAATAGATACATCGAAAATTGAGACTCAGAGATATCAGGCGTTGAATAGTGCCGGCCGAGGCTAAGTTAATTCCGGCCGGAATTAGGATGGTATCGGTTTATATAAAGTATGACTGGTTTATGATTAACTTCGTTATATGCAAAGTCGATAAAATTAATTATAGATGGTTTTGGTATAAGAATAAGGTTCATTATATCGAGTTATGACTGTATATACTATATTGTAATATAATTTTCATCCATGGTGTAAATAGTTTTACTTCCACTTTACTCTGACATGAAAAATTACCCAACTTCATTTCACCGAAATGCCATTTTACGACATGAAAATTACTCGATTTGCCATCGCTCCATACTACGTTTTCACATGATATATAATTATTACTTATTCAGTAAAATTTTTCGTTTTTTAGTGATCAGTAAAATGGATGAATACGCTTATTTTCTTGAAGATATCTAGACGCTTAACTGAACATCAAAGTTTAAATATAATATACGTTTCAACGAATTACTATTTTGCCAATGCCCAATACCCAGCATCGACATAGTATTGAAATGATCATGAATTTTTGCCTTTAAAGTTTTTTGATACCAACAAATATTTTCCCAGAATCCCTTACGAGAAGCGTGGCTATCAAAAGAAAGTGTAATTCATTAAATACTATTGAAAAATTTCATCAAAACTTTACTATATGCGAATAAACTGTTTAGTTTAATCATTAAAATTTCTTAACAGTATAATTCTGTTGTAACACACGTCACGTAGATCAACTCCCATCAATCCACAATAATTACAATAATTACGAGGTGTTTTTCGACCACGTCCACCAACTTCTGTAACTTTTTCAAAGTGCTTACAGTTGGAATAAGTTACAGACGTCTTCTGATGGTGGTCTTCCACGAGAAATAATTTTAAAAAAGCTGTTTTGTACCCCGGGTATAGCCTATTACCAGGACCCCGGAAAATGCTTATATATGTAAGGTACCAAGGTGCTTAGCCAACATAGTAAAGTTTTATGATGTAAGAATTTTATAATGCTTAATTTTAAGAAAATTTTATACTATGTAAGATAATTAAATTGCATATTTTTGGTATTATTTTAAAATACTAAGAGTTTTTAGTTGCTTATTTTTCATATTTATATAACTTTTTAAAATATTATATATTGAATTTATAATTAATTTTTATTTATTTTCACTAACGGT